GCTCCGATTCGAGCTAACCGTTGCTAGATCTAGCAACGGCATGCTGGCAAGCAAGCTAAAAGCAAAAACCGGTGAGTGTGCTTCATTTTGGTGCCCTCCCGCACACAATCACACACCCCTACTTCAAACCACACCACACCGTTTAACCTCATGCCACACCGGTGTGGCTGAATAGGCTTCGCTATAGTAGCTTAGCAATAGCCGCGAGTTAAAACCGCTGGCTTTTAGCTCAACCGGTAAAGATGCTCTCAGTTGTTCATCTCAACAAGGAAACCTCCAAAGAGTAAACCCTATTAATTTGATATACTGAACAAAGCTGTGATGGATGTTTCACTACATATAAGGTATTCAAAGTTGAAATGCATGAAATCATAGAGTGCATAAATCATATAATCATAAAACATTTTGGCTGGGAAAGCCAAAGCTTACATAATCAGATTACCAAGATCCCCTGCAAACAAGGTTTTAAGATCTTATGATTTATGCGGTTATGATTTCATGCATTTCAACTTTGAATACCTTAATAGCCTTCTCAGTGAGCCATTCTGAGCCAGACAGTCCGCAAGAAAAGCTTACATAACAAGATTCAAACACAAAAAAAGTACAACATTGCAATTGCCAAACCTCCAAATGATTTGAGATCACCTTTGGAGTGAGTGACTTTGTCAAGTTCAGGGTTGAGGATGGCCAACAAGCTAATGATCATCACCTATCTTTCTGCAGCTGCCAATCTTCATCAATACTTCATTACTTCATCCAATCATAATCCCCAGCTGGCTCATTGGAAATATAAACGCTGCTCACCCGCAACCATAGTCATCAGCTGCAGTTATTGACTGGCACAGTGCGGCAGCGGTGAACCGGCTAAACCAGATCGGGCTCCGTTAGACATGCTTTTGGAGAGCAACCATCAAAAGACCATTGCCACCGTTAATGAACATGAAGAGTCGAGCAGCAGCGACAGGCACACGAAGTGAACCAACGAGCAACAGGGTTTGAAAAAAAGAATGTACCTTCTCTGTGAAGCCAAAACTGGTAGAGAAAAATGCAGAATTGAGCAAAGGAAAAGGCACTTGAAAGCCACAAAGTGCTTCAAGCAGTCAGATAACTTTAATTTCTCCCGCGTTTCCCCTCGTTTTCCCATCTGTAACCTCCGAGGAGGTTTGGGAAACGAGATTTCAACGGGATGCATGACTCAAGTAGAGGCCAAGTGGCCTTCTGAAAGAAATGATGAAACGGGTCTAACTGGATGCCGACAGTAAGGGGACCCCACTGCGCTGGGAGATGGTGCAACAAAGCTGGCACTAGAAAGGCAACCGGAGAGAGATATATTTTTTGCATTGAATCCCGGTCAGATGTTGGTAAACAGTAGATGGAAAAGAGAAAAGGTATGTCACTTCTCTGTGAAGCCAAGACTGGTAGAGAAGAACAGAATTGAGCAAAAGAAGAAGTACTGAGGAGCCATAAGAGGTCCCAGTTAAGATCAATTTTTCCCGCGTTTCCCCTCATTTTCCCATCTATAACCTCCTAGGAGGTTTGGGAAATGAGATTTAAACGGGATGGCTATCCTTACGGATGACGAAATGGCTCACAGTGGCTGGCATAAGAAAGACGACTCGTTGGGGGCTGAGGGTTGGTGCAAGTGTTCATTGAAGCTTGCAGTCAAAAAGCAATCGAGATTACAATGGGAATGGTGTTGAGGACTGAGACTAGGCTTCAACAAGGGAGGGTGCACCTCGAGACAAGTTGGTGAGGACCGGTCCAGCAGCTTTGTGGAACTGCGAATGCAAGACAAATGCCGGACATGAGTGAGATCTTCATAGCGATGTAAAAAAGGAAAAAAAAAGTTGCTTACTTGAACATAGGCACCATCCAGCCTGATACGTCCTTCGCCCCGGAGTTTTTGGTAATCGGCACGCGAAAGATCGGTGAAACCCCACTAGAGAACAAGATACCTCGTCAGCCAAAGCAGAGAGATGTAGGGTTTGAGGAGGGGTCGGGCAAACCTTCTTGGAGACGATGATCTTCTGTTGACCGGGGAACTTGTACTGAGCTCGTCTCAAAGCTTCCATGACCACAGCTTTGTTGGAATCCTTGCATCGAACACTAAGCAGAATTTGTCCAATGTTGACTCGGGCCACGGTACCGTAGGGTTTTCCCCAAGCACCACGCATACCGGTTTGGAGTCGATCGGCTCCAGCGCACGATAACATCTTGTTGATACGTACGACATGGAAAGGGTGAGCTCGGACACGAAGATGGAAGGAATCCTTGCCAGAGGTCTTGGTGACGTATTTGTTGCAGGTAATACGGGCAGCTTCCAAGGCTTCGGAGGACAATTGTTCCTTCTCGTTGGAGACCAAGTGAGCACAGAATGGGAACTGTTGCGAAAGAAGTCAGACCCAACAATTTGAAGTTATTAGAGATGGGTCTCAAACCACCCACATCATCGACGTTGGCCTTCTTTCGTCCTAGATCGAAAATTCGGATCTTCGAGTCCGGGCAACTACGGACATAACGTGACTTGGGGTAGGGCTTGTTCTTGCAGTAACGGTAGCATTTTGCTGGTCTTCGGCCCATCTTGAAGGAGAGAACTTCGGTGCTGGGTGTTGAAGGGTGGCGAGGAAGAGGATGAAAGTGAGCACATGCTGTGAGAGGAGGAGGTATATAGGGCTGAATGGGCTGGCGTGGAGACGGGGGTCACTCACCTGGTCGGAATCGGATCCTGCTCGGCTACAGCGGGCAAGGGTGGTCTTGAGGGGTGTGTTACCAAGGGGGAGCTCACCCGCGAGTGGTGAGAGTTGCGAAACCTAATTGAATCAAATAGGTTAAGCAAGAGACCCTCCCCCTCGAATCCAACCGATTTCCCTCCGCAGCAGGTGGCGGGGCGTGCGCGTGCTATTCATCTGCCTGCCAATGCCAGTGCGCACATCGACGCTCGAGCGTCAGAACCGATCCGCTAATGCTCTCCGAGGTGCAGTCTACACGGATTGCTCGGTTGGCTTTGGCCCTAATCGATCACATGTATTTATATAGATCATGAACATATGAGAGAGGCAGTGATCAGCTATAAAGATGAATCCTGGATCCATCCGAGGTCTTAAAAATGTAACCTCGAGGAAAGCTCCTCGGAGCCCCAGGATACGTGTACCAGAAACAAGCGGATATAACATATTTAGTTTGCTAGCTATCTCTGAACTTCGCTGGACGAAGGAATCTACACGATATGGGGTATCTGCAAGCCTTGATGAGCGCCCTGCTCATGTGCAGCTTGGTGCTCCTGCTTGCCGCCGAGGATGGCGAATCTTTGCAGGGGATCCCGGGAGGAACCCAGAGGTTAGGTGAGTTCAAGTCTGGAATTTTACGGTGCTTGATCGTTTTTTTCAAAAAGTTGATGAATCCGATGTGTTGGTCTCCCATTAGCAACTCCATCCAAGCACAATGGTGAGGAAAGACAACAACGAGCACCCCGGGAACGCCGAGGAGTCGCACTGGCTGGACACTATCCTTTCCCGCATCAGGTCACTTGCAAGGATGCTGAGGGCCAGCCACAGACTTATAAGAGCAAAGATTGTCTATCGTCAGTCACTGCGACCGTAGTGGTTGATTTTCGATCACATCCAACTGATAAGCTCCTTTTGTCAACATCTCATAGGGCGGCCAAGAAAATGTCGGCCTACCAACTCAGTGAAGTGACCTGTAGCACCTGTAAAGTGAGTCCGAAAAAAAAAAGCAGAAATTTGTTTTGATCATTAATTTTATTGATAATCATATGTTTGAACCTGGAAACATTGTCAGTTGTCCGTTGTAAGTAGCAATGGAGAACCGCTCAAGTCCGCGGTGTAAGTTCGGCCGCTCAAGTTTCCCTGATCATTATAATTCCTCAGGCCATTTGGTATCTGAGCAAAGCTGTTCTTTCTGGTCTGCTTAAATGCCCACCAGTCCCGCGGACCGTCTCCAGCACATGACGGTCGAGATTTTGAAAGCTTGCGCATCAAACAAGTCCATCAACGTCAGTCCAGTTCGAAAATGACTTGAACACTTTTCTCTCAAGCTGTGATCACCGAACACTCGAAGCTGATCAACCTGGGGATCCACATCTTAGGCGACGTACTCTGTAGAAGAGTCTCGCGGCAACAAGGTGGTTCAAATTGTATTCACACTGCTTCTTTCTCAAGGAAAAGGCACTACGTCAATGTAAATTGATCGGAATGAAAAGCTACAAGGAGATGAGAATGAGACTTGGGCGAGCTGAGATGAGAGGACAGAGCGCAAGAACAAGAGCGAGCAGGGTTGAAAGTGAGAAAGGGATCAAGGTCCAAGGAAGAGAGCAAGGGTTCGAAAGGGGAAGGAAGTGAAAACAGGTGCAGTCAGTCCAGCATTTCCGCTCGCAGATTGGGATTATGTTTTCCGACGTTTTGGTTGGACCTCCGGAGCAGGGGTTGGTGAGTCTTGGGTATCAGCTCGGCTGCTGTAAAGCTGGCCTAGAAAGGTATAGACTCGGCCGGCTTGAGTGATGATCGAGTCGATCCGTTTCACGGTGCTCTTCTCGCTAGCCAGCTCCTCCTTCATAGATCTCACTTGCTCCTTGAGTGAGCTGAGCTCTTCCTTCATCGATGCAATCTGGGTCGAGGTTTCCTTCTGATGTTCTGCCGCCCTCAGTTCTCGTGCGTTATCCTCTGCCTTCAATGCAGCAAGTGCTGCAGCGATTGCTGGGGGAAGCACCGCAGCTGGTTCTGTATGAATAGAAAAAGATCATAAGCACCTCATCATAACCATCAAGCCGTGGTGGATGACATATTACCTGGAGATTGTTTCCTATTATTGGATGATTTGGTCATTTTCAAGGGCCGCGTACGTCCAGATTATTGGATCTAGGGGTGGGGGGGGGGGGGAATATGTCAAGAGCAAGTGTTTGAGGGTGTTGTCGGAAATATGTAGGTTGCAGGTGGTGAATGGGGAAGTGTCTCGGTATTCTTTATGCTGGAGGGAGCTCTTCTTCAAAGCAGTGAGCACCCAGCATGCTATGTAGATCATGATCAGGTCCCTCCAAGCCCACTTACAACACTTGAGACCGCCTCACAAATAGATTATCTTGTGAAGCTGAGCATGGAGAATGATGGGATAACTGCTGATTCACGTATGTTTGCCAACCAATAGTTTGATTTGGAATGAGTTACTTGGCACTTAATATGTATATGGGTGTCGCTGGCCACTCCCTCTGACTGGCGCGCAGGACGAGAGACCAAATCAGCACGAGTGACTCAGGCAGAGCACAGCAACCGCCACGTCGAGCAGCTATAAATTCAACCGCTGGCTCTCAAGACTGGGTGAAAGAACCTGATGAATCGATCCGCAATCCACAACTTGAGTTTTACTTAAAACGGTGATTTTTCTTCATGATGTTGTCTTGATGACGACAGAGCCACATCACGGCACGATCTCAGCGAGGTTGCGACCTGGGGAACCTGGAAGCGCAATTGACGAGAAGGTGTGACTTGGGCTTGTGTGTGTGTGTCTGAACGGAAAAGCGCCTTGAGGTCATCGACACATGAGTCAATGAATGGCCTTTCTCTCACCTTGTCCAGGGTCAACAGAAATAGGTAGGGAAATGGTAGCAGAATTTACTTGCAGATCCTTGTATTATTTTTCGGAGTCAGTCGGCCAGTTTGTTGGTGAAAGAGGCTCATGAATGGGGAGGTGGTATGTTGAGATGGATAAGGAATGCTTGTTATGAGTGGTACATATGTCACAATAAAAGGGATGATGGGGATATCAGAGTGGGCCTTTTTATGAGAAATTCATCGCCAGATTTCCCTGATACATATTTAGCTACTCTATATCTTCCTTCAGTCACTGCCAGTGCCACCCACATTAAATCGCTTGCTTTTCGGCATCAACTGACCTTTAATCTCCACTCCACTGCTTTGACTTCGACCGATGACTGTCCAATATATGCGCCCATCCTACAAGCTCATCGGAGAATTCTTGCTTCATGGTCGATTACATTCTCAGCTTTCGTGTTTTATAAGTTCCGCCATCAGCATTACAAATGCAAATGTGATGTGACACGGATACAATTTTTTGTTTGGTGCGGATGGGTTTGGATTGATTGATGACACCCGATGATTGCAGAAACTTATCTTGTTTTCGTTTGGGTGGAAGCCTTGATCAAGAGCGGAAGGAAGGTCGAGGTGGTGAAACCAGCTGATGATCAGGCGCGGGTCCCCGTTTAAACATTTCATCACAACCACACCAACCCAGCCACCGATGATTGGATCGGAGCCAGGAACAGCCACCCAGCCCTCGTCCGCTGCCCATCCTCCTCCCCCGAGCTCACAGGCTAAGCCGACCGCCATCAACAACGAGAACAACAGCAAGCCCAAAAAAACTCGGGGTCGGCCGGCCGATTCGCCCGATGTAACGCTGTCCAAGACGCTCTCTTACATACTGCGACATGGCGCGCTTAAGGAACGGCTCGTCATCAGAGCCGATGGGTGCATCAGATTAGATGACTTGGTCAGTCTCCTACCTATCTCTCCCTTGCTTCTCTATTTTTTTTTTTTTTTTCAAAACCACTTTTTTTTTTTTTTTTTTCGGATCACAAGAAATCTCGTCGATTGACATTAAAACATGTCTGTGTGTTTTTTTTACGTCAGCTCAAACGGCCCAAGTTGAAGAACTACACGATCGATGATGTCCGGCGGGTGGTCGCTGAGAACGAGAAGCAACGGTTTGCGCTCGTCGACGAACAAGCCGCCGACGGTTCCATCGTCAATTACATCCGGGCCAATCAAGGACATTCCATAAAAGAGGTAAGAAAAAAAACAAAAATCTTCTTCTTACTTCTACCCGACAATCTCAAATATTGATGGCCACTTTTTGTTTTGTTTTTTGAGGGGGGCAGGTGGACCAACCAGATTTGACACCATTGATTGATCCCATAGAGCTCCCGACGGTAGTACACGGGACTTATTCCAAGTTCTGGGACAGCATTGGTGAACACTCCTTTCACATCCTCACACTTCGAACATCATCTCAACTCTAGACCACTTTCTTTCTGGGCTTTAAATTATCTAACAAGCGCAAGACGGCCTCAAACCGATGAGCCGAACACACATCCATTTCGCCAAGGGATTGCTAGGAGAAGAAGGTGTCATCAGCGGTGAGCGGGTTGATCGATTCGGGAACATGTGCTGGTTAGCTTGCTGACCATTACAAATCGGGGTTTTTTCACCCTTCATGTTTATGCGGTTTAGGAATGCGTGCATCATGCGACACGTTCATTTATCTGGACGTTGAGAAATGTTTACAAGGTTCGATCACCAGCATCTTCGTCGGATGACCAGCTTCTCTCAATCTATGATCACTGACACCATCGGAATTTTTTTTTTTTCTTTGGGGATCTTAAGCCCAGATCGAATTCTTCCTGTCCTCCAACGGGGTGATTCTCAGCGAAGGACTCCCGGCCTCGAAATCGATCCCTGCCCAATACTTCAAGAAAGTTGTCGATAAGCACGGGACTGTGCTGTACCCTCCTCAGTGACCATCCGAGTTGACTCACTGAAACAACGGCTGGATAACAATCGTGAGCATCACGTCTGTAACGATCTACAAAGGCAAGTGTTCGGATAAGCTAGCCATAGAGGCTGATATACCCAGTTTGTTTTTGAAGCCACTTCACTGTTCTGTTGTGGATACGTTTACTTTGACTCCTGATCAATACTATGTAGTTAACTTGTATTCAAAACATTTCGGGTATGAAGATTTTTCTTCTTGTTCTCATTGTTGACCTAAGCTCCGGAACGGAAAACAAGTGCAATTTGATCCCCCGACTTTGAACTCATTGTTAAAGATTGTGAGACTTGATGGACCTCTCTGGAAGGGAGAAATAGTATTGGAACTTCACTCCTTGATCACCTGTTGCTGTTGACGACCCTCTAGGGCTGAGTTGGAATCTCTTCTAGATGTTTATCGCTTTCGATTGAGAGAAGAAGTCTGGCTGTGTTGCTTGTGGTGAGAAGAAAGACAATCTCATAGCAGTGCTTGATGTGTGCACATCAACCATGTCTGCCAAGAAACATCTTGCAATTATAAAATCCGATACATTTTTGACACCAGAGAAACTTACAGAAAACACAAGAGAAACTTGCAAAAAAAAATTGCCATGAAATTAAGGTCCAAGATTGTGTGGATATTTACCGGGTAGCTGCGATATTCGATGAGGACATGAGTGTCTCAATCAGATGACACCAGTGTAGTCGGTGTAGGACTTGTAAGCAGAAACTAGATCCACTCGCCACATTCATGTCAATTTTTTTTTTTTTCGCGAACAGGTTTTGAGAAATGGCAACAAAGCCAAGAAGGGTTTCAAATAAGTGGACGAGGACAGTCTCCAACAAGCCCCTCACTTGTTTGATCAACATCACAAAGTGATTGGAGGAGGATTAAGGAAAGAAGACAAGAGGATTAAGCAAGCGGAGCGATATCGTCTATTGTACATACACAGGCAACATAAAGAAAAAAAAAAAAAAACAAGGTGCGAACGTGAGGAAAGTATGTCGTACATGGACGGAGTAAGAATGCAAACAAGAGAAAGATCGGTGGTTAGAAGTCTCCAATATCGATGTCTACATGAACCTGACTGGCCACCATTTCCTCAAATTTGGAGAGCTGAGTTTTCTCCTTGGTCGCGTTGTTAGTAATCGCCGAGGAGGCGGTAGAGCTGCTAGGAGTTCCGCTGGCCGATGGCTTTGCTACCTGTGAAGGAGTTGACGACCTTTTTTTTTGCATGTGATCCATAGATAAGTTTAAGATTAGTGAGATATTCATACGAAAAAAAGGATAACGTATTGAGTGATGACTGACCTGGCTTCATAAGTTAATTTAGGATTGATCTTAACTCTAGCGCTAGGATCCAATTTGACGGCGGCGCCAGCCTCCAAGGCCTTCATCTGCTGCCTGCGTAGCTCGCTCGCCGCTACTTCAGCCCTGCGGATCTCCTCACGATTGGCCTTTCGATTGCGCTCGTTGAGCTCCGACATCAACGAGTCGGTCTTGAACACCGCTCCCGAGGCTTGTTCCAGCTGTCTCGTCAGTTGCGCGGCTAATTCCAGGTTTCCCAGGGCAGCCGCTTGGTCCCGTTCGCTCTCCAGTCGCAACCGCTCTGAGATCGTCAGCGTTGTCGGGCCAAGCCCTTGGGCGCGCATTTCTTTCTTTGCTTTTACTTGTGCCGTGATGTCGCTCTGTCATCATCGGCATGAAGAAAATCGCCGGGTAAGTAGCTTTTCACAAGTTGTGGATCGCAAATTCACTCAACTGACCTCGTCTTTCACCCAGTCTTGATACTTTTCAATCATTTTGATTTTTCGAGAAATTTCTTTCTTTGACGGTAGTCGGACTGCATGTTTTTGACACTCGCCAACGACAAATAGCCATTCATTCTGAAAGGAGAAGATTTGGTGAGCAAACTGAAAGTTCTGATCGACGTACGTCCAAAGGATCGAAGTCATACACACCTCTTGGATACTAGAATTGGAAACGACGTCTAAGAGGACAGTCTTCTCATCTTTCGCAAGGACTACGACCAGCGCGACTTTGGTCGCTTGTCCTTCGACTTCGTAGTATTTCCTGTGTTGGACGATATCTGTGTAACTGATTAGCTGACAGATCGGTAGAAGATCACACCAGGACATCTATAAATAACACTTACTGGTGATTTCACCAACTCGATACTTCACCTCACGCTTAGGATCATCTTTGGAGAAGCCGACGGAGACTCGGACCCACATCCCTTTGGCGTATTCTTCGAAAAATTTGGTCGAACATAGTTCGGCTGCTCTTGAGCGAGTCAGCATGACCGATCGGATATCATTCAACGTGGCGTTGTCTTCAAATTTTTTCGCCGCACGCACGCCGCGGTCGATCGCTTGTTCTTCGATGATGTCGATTTCGCCATCCTCGGATTCATAATTCAAGCCGTTCCGCTTGCGGTTGAGCTCAGCCGAATCAGCCTCGTTAGGCTAATACAGAAAAAAAAGACCAGTCAGATTTTTTGAAGGGTGTGAAGTCTTGTCAAGCAACCGTCCACACCTTGGGGCGCTTTTCTTTAGCTTGTCGTCTCTGTTTAAGCTCATCCAACTTTTGAGTTTTTTCCGAAGTGACTCCGATCCGGCTCTTGTCTCTAGCACTATATCTTTTCCCGGAGGCTTCATCCCTGGCACGGACCATGTTCTTGACGTTTTCGCGATCCCGAATCTTTTGGATTTCGTCCTGTCGATCTCCTAAGATTGCTTCCCGGTCCAACTCGGACATGCTCTGTATCCTCTGCTTGTCCGCCGCGTCCTTGTATATTCCTTCATACGGATATAGATTACTCGACGTCACTCGGCTTGGACCATCTTTATCTTCTGAAATTCTCCAAAGATTCAAGGGATGCAAGAATGAGTCAATGATGAAGCGGTGTGATGTCAACTGGTTTGTTAGCTTGAGAGCGCACCCTCTTTGGCAAAGCCAGTATCAGAACCAGACGACATCTCCATGTCTGATTCAGTACTACATAAAACAAAGCAAGGGCTTTTGAATGAGCCTCGAGATTGATCTTGGCTTGGTTGCAAGATGAATTTCCTCAAAGGCCTTACTCCATCTCCATGGTTTTCCTCTTTTTGGGCTTTACAGGATTGTTGCTGCTCTTCTTGGTTCGTTTTGCAGCACCTTGATGGGCAGATTGAGAGTTTGGGGGGTTCAAATCGGTCTGCGAGATATCTCCTCCGGCGAGAGCGAGGAGCTCATTATCAAGATCAGACATGATTGGGGCCGCTTGAGACCGACAGAGTGCGTATATGAGCTATTGAAGTCACGTATCCAGAGATGCTCCTCGCGACGCGATATGACGAGAGATAGCTGAAAAAGAAGAAGCAAAACGCAGTTCGAGGTAAGTAGGTATCTGATATGTGCAGAGTGCAGTGAGCGGAGAACGGCGAAGGATGAGGTAAATATGTACCTGAAGATATATTAGTCCTCCAAGTCCAACGCTGGAATTAGTTCTCGAAGAGGTTGCTGTGTCCAGTGCATCGAGGATGGCTGTTGGCGGTGAGCTTTTATAGTGTCTGGTCCATGGCACGGATCGACCAGGAGTGTCACAGATCTCCCTGCGAGGGATTGCTGAGCTAAGCCTCTCGATCGGAGGGTCCCCGCACCCGCAAGGAATGCTATTCGAAAATGACGGGTTTATTTATGTGTGTAGCTGTTTTAGCCCCAAGAATCAACCTCACAAGCCCCAACACATCCAGAAGCACCCCTCCAAAAGCAAACCTCTGAAGTAGGGGCTAGTAGGTTATGACTGGTATATGGCCTGTGGGCTTTCCACCATTTTAGTGGGAGCATTATTCTTCTGGGCAATTGGTTGTCTTCCACACACACCAGCTGCTTGCCTTCAGGACCGGAATGGAGCAGAAGTTTTTCTGCAATTTTTGGTGGTCATGTCAATGCTATCTGATGTTCAGCTTGCCAGTCAAACTTGGGAAATAATTGATGGTGAAAAGATTGAAGCCAGTCAAGATAGCGGAGCCGGTTCCAACAAGTGCAGCCCTTTAATTTATGAAATTATGAATTGTTAATGCTTTTCTTTTCTATTTGTGCTTCTCAAGAATACGCATACAAAAAAAAACACTTTCAATCCACGTCTGAGCAAGAAAAGATCCAATAAACTACTTCTCAACACCATACCTGAAAACCCCAAACTTAACTGTTCCCTCCTGGGTGTGAAGTTCTCCCCTGCAAAGGAGGGGACTAAACAATGTACTTTTTGGGTCTGACAAGTATGCAAAAAGTGATTGCCTTTATACCTCAGTATCTCTGCCTCAAAAAACTCCAATTCTCTTGGTGGGAGCCTCTATGGATAGTCTGCAAGTCCATCTATGTCTCATTGTTTTTTTTTTGGTATTGTCTCAACTGAAAAGCTTGGCTGCTTTGTGAGCCCACTTTGTGTTTTCAATAGACATGATTCTTTTTTTTTTGCACTTCACTTGGTTTTATCCTGACGTTTGTCAGATAATGGAGCCTGCCACTCCCAGCAGATGGTCTTACTGAGCAGAGGTAATCCAAATCTGATTTCAGATTCTGAACCAGACCCCTGTTGCTTGCTGCCCTCTGCTCCAACAGAGGGGCCAACCAAGTGCTGGGCTGTTACATGGCCCATGGGGGGTACATGAACACTGTGAGATATCTGGTCCTGAAAAAAAAATTGAAATACCAAAAATAAAAATAACAAGTCCATAAGAAAGTTGACTCCAGGCCAAGGTTTGTGGTAAAGACAATATTTTTACTCCATCTCTAATCCATCCAAAATCAGTAAGAAACATGTCAACACAACAGGCGATATGGGGTTTCTGCCTGTTATTGTCCGGGAGCAATTTCTTACATATCTAAAGTAGCCAATACAGTTTGACTTGAGTAATAGCTGTTGTCAGGATCATTAAAAAAATGGACAGATGTGTCACTTTTTTTTGACCCAAAGGAAGAGTACATTACATACTTGGCCCCTTTGGGGTACCCGTCAAAATGCTTGATTAGTGGTCTTATAATAAGGCTCATTTCCTGACAAAGGAAGATTGCTGGGGGCACAAAATTTGATGAGGTTGTAGGCAAAGCAAAGGCCTTCCTCGTGGTCTTTACAGTTTTTTTTTCTGAAAATGTTATTAATTTTCTCTGCCAAATCTGAAAAACCTCTCAGGCCAAAAAACTCCATATTTTCATAAATCCCTTCCTTTGGAGGGGGGAGCTTTGCACCCAGGAGGGGACTTTGTGAAAACCCCGGTGCTGTGGGGTTTAAGTGAGGCCTGTCAGGGACTTTCCTGAGTCCTGAACACCGGGGTTGGGGACCGGGGTGAACCACCTGAACCCCATCCAGTGGACGATTTTCACTCAAAAGTGTCCACAGGACGTCGTCCGATTCCAGGAATGTGATCGATGGTGTGTGGAGTCCAATTATCCTGGAGATGAGGCACAGTTCCATGGCAGATTCACTGGTTCTGTTTTGAATGACATCATGGCCAGAGAACAGGCCTTGGAGAGTCGTCCGATCAGGATCTCAACGTTAATTGGTATAACCTCATGAAAATCAATTGTCCAGTAATTGGAACGGTCGATGGCTGCCATCCTGTAATGTGCATGAGACCAAATTCAGCTTGGGCACCGTCGAGACCCATGACCAACAGTGGAAAAGGCCCAGCCCAACAAAGTTTGCCCTCTTTCTTACAAGAATCCATTCCGGATCGAAACGTTTCAATAAAACAAATGCCTGCTTCGTACATCCCGATCAAGCATGCTGTACCATCTGGTTGGCACTTTGAAGGAGACTAGGCCCCTCCAAGCCCTTCGAGCTAACCCACCACCCCAGAAACCGTCGCACAAATAGATTATTTTGCAAATTTGAGCATGAAGAATGGTGGGACGCTTCCTGATTCACGTTTGCCGACCAACCAACTTCTGACCATACTCTCATACTCGCTCTTTGTTATTCCATTCCCAGTACTCAACCAGCGACCCCTATTAGATCCGACACTCTGGAAGGACGCCACCTTGAAAATCGCCAAATCTTGTAACAAGATGTTACAAACTAACGGTAAGTCATCCATCCACCATGGCGTGATGGTTCTGATTTGGTGCTCATGATCGTTTCCCTTGATGTAAATGTGCATACCCAGAACCAACTGCTCAGCTTCCCTCGGCATTCGCTGCAGCACTTGCTGAGTTGAAGGCAGATAATGAAGCGCGAGAAGCGAGGGCGGTAAACCGTCGCAACGAAGCGGCGACCCAGATGGTGACAATGAAGCGCGAGCTCACATCACTCAGTAGGATCGGTGAAGGACGAGCTCACATCACTCAAGGGCCAAGTAGGATTGATGAAGAACGAGCTGGCTAGCGTGAACACCACCGTGAAACGGATCGATGTGATGATCACTCAAGCTGGCCCAGCCTATGCCCATCTGGGCAAGCTTTATAACAGCCGAGCTGATACAGAAGACTCACCAGCCCCTGATCCGGATTCCCGACCGGAACGTCGATCAAAAAGACGGACCCAATCTGCGAGGGGAAATACTTGACTGCACCTGTTCTAATTCCCTTCCCATTCCTCATCCTCGCTCTCTTCATTGCACCTTTTTTATAGCATGATTCTGGAAGGATTCTTTGATCCCGGATTATCAGAGCCAATGAGCTTGATTGAGTCGATCCGTTCCGCGGTGGTGTTCACGCTAGCCAACTCGTCCTTCACCAATCCTACTTGCTCCTTGAGTGATGTGAGCTCGTCCTTCACCCATCCTACTTGCCCCTTGAGTGATGTGAGCTCGCCCTTGATTGTCGCCATCTGGGTCGCCGTTTCCTTGTGACGGTTGACCGCCCTCCCTTCTCGCGCTTCATTATCTGCCTTCAACTCAGCAAGTGCTGCAGCGAATGCTGAGGGAAGCTGAGCAGCCAGTTCTGCGTGTCTTCAAGAAAAAGATTTGACTTTATCAGCAAACTCTTTCTGTGGTGATCCATCCCAAGCAAACTCTAGAACCTGCAACCCAATTATCAATTGCTGAAGAATTTCTGTGATCATCCACAAAATTTAAGTTTTCTTTTACCATCCTTCATACTTGTTTCTTCTCGTTGTTGATCACTTGGCCAGCCGCTTTGCTCACCCCTCAAAGTCTGACAAGTGGCTGCCCCTGCACATGCAACATCAAAATAACCACAAAGAATCATTTATTTCTCAGTTCAAGATTACAAGCAGGTTTTGGGGGTGTATTATCCCGACATCAAGAATTAACAAAACTTACAATCCTGGAGAAATTTTTCATTACATAATTCTGGAAGGATTCTTTTAGCCCGGATTATCAGAGGCAATGAGATGATACGTGTTTTGGTCAAATATTTTTTTTTTGCTTGGGGATAGCTGGATGTGTCGGTCTTCTATATTTTGTTTTTTTTGGCCGCAGAGTGTCTTTTTTACGAGCAAGAGCTGATCGAGGCTGGAAGGAGAGCACCCCAACCTGCCGGGCGGCGCGGGAATCCGGGATGGCTGCGGATGGGGGATGCTCGTGTCAAAGACAGTTTCACACAGCTGAAGTCCATGGCAGTGTCGCCCCAAAGTTCCCCCCCTGCACCATACTTAATTTCTTGAAAACTCCGGCCGCCAGTTTCCTTTAGTGGGAGACATCTTTTGAAAGGTCTACCTGCCCCCTCTCCTCCGTCCGCCCGCTGCTTGTTTGACTTCCTTTCATCCCATCCACTTAGTCAACTGCAATCTTCATCGACATCACTTACTGTTAAACTTATTTTTGCTTGGATAACCTACAAGCTGGGTATTTGACCAATTATCTACATACACAGTTAACCCTCGCCGATCCCCACCGTTTGGCTCTCTCCTGAGTCGATCCGTTCAGATCGTCAAGATGACAGCTACTACCACTTCCCCGGCCACCCAGGCCTTGATCGACAATGGAGGCAGCGATCTAAAGAACCGAAAAAACATCTCTCAATATACTTCCTTTTGGAGTGCCGATCACACGAAGGATACCAAGGAGGATGAGAAAAACCGGAAAGACCAGTACGAAAATCTGGTCAATGGTTACTACGACGCTTGTACCGACATTTACGAATATGGATGGGGTCAGGTGAGTCATTCATATTCATGAAAAAATCGCACAATATTTCCTGCTCCTCCCCAGACTCCGGCAAAGTTCGTTTGCAATTCGTCCTAACTTGTACTGTGCCCTCCCCTCCTCTTCAGAATTTCCATTTCGCACGATACTACAAAGGAGAGGCATTTGCCCAAGGGATCGCGAGACATGAGCACTACCTTGCGGCCCAAATCGGCATCAAAGAGAACATGAAGGTGCTCGATGTCGGCTGTGGGATCGGTGGTCCGGCCCGAGAGATCTGCTCATTCACAGATGCCAACATCGTTGGGATCAACAATAACATCTTCCAAGTCGATCGAGCCATCAAGTATTCTGCCAAGGCCGGCTTGAGTCATAAGCTTACCTTCGAGAAGGGCGACTTCACTAACATGGCCCCACAATTCGGCGAGAACGTCTTCGACGCTGTCTACGCCATCGAGGCCACTGTCCACGCCCCGGAGTGCGAAGACGTATACGGAGAGGTCTTCAAGGTCTTAAAGCCCGGCGGCATTGTAGGTCATTTGAACATTTGAATGGAAAATGAAATTCCCGCCTTTCTGACGCTTTTTACACGCCGCTTTGACCCACAGTTCGGTTTATACGAGTGGTGTTTGACTGACAAGTATGATCACGAGAACCCCAAACATCGTCAAATTCGCCATGACATCGAACTCGGTGACGCGATTCCGTCGCTCCGCACGGTTGAGCGCACTTTAGAAGGCCTCAAAAAAGTGGGGTTCGAGGTGATCCGCTCTGAAGACATGGCAGCCCGAGACGATCCGCTCCCCTGGTACTACCCTCTCCGCGGCAAGCTTTCGGAGGCCCAGACGGTCTGGGATTACTTCACCATCTTCCGATTGACTCGCTTCGGAAAAGGACTCCTTTCTGGTACCGTCAGAATCCTCGAGACTTTGGGCATTGTTCACAAAGGCACAGCTGCAGTCGATCGCTCGCTCAACATCGCCGCCGATGCTCTTGTTGCTGGTGGTGAAACTGAGATATTTACACCCATGCAGTTGGTGAGTCGATTTTTTGGTTTGTCTCAATATCGTCTGAAGACTAATGGTTGACTAATTTTCATTATCATTACAGCTTATCTGCCGAAAACCTGAGAGCAAGTAGAGAGATAATCTGGCGTCAATGCCCCCCGATCCATTCACTCCTTTTTTCCACACCCCCCAAAAAAAACATGTGTTTTGGCCCACATTCCGCACTTCACTCCTTATATTACATCTGTTGGAGTTCTTGACAAACTTCATTCTGCTTGTGTTTTTCATCAATATATTGCTTGCCTTAACGTTATCATCACTTTTGCTACCCCGATCAGATTTTCAAGTACAATTCATACCACCATGGCCAATTTATAGTACCTTTCATCCCCATGTTCTTGTTTGGAATCGCGCCAAATGTGGGGGGGACTTGTGAAGATTGCTGAAGCAATGTCTTACACCTAGTATATCGCTCAGAGTCCTCGGGCATCTCCACAAAAGAGACCCTGAAGCCAGTTGGGCTCAGATTTCAGTGGGCCCCAGTGTTCTTTGTGATTGGGAACCCGGCTAAACATCTTAGGTATAGCGGTGTTGAACACATACGCATTGATCATCGCCTTCAACTGTAATCATAATGCAGACGAATTTAGCCCCCCCGTCTTATCAGAAGGATATAGGAAGGGAATACATAGCACTTGTTTCAACTTTCAAGTGAGAACTTATGTAATCCTCATTCCCCAGCGTAGAATCTCACCTCGTTTGGTGCAATTCGACGCTCTTTTCATGAATCCGATCAATACTTTGGGCTATCTACAAAATATGTTGATAATCAAGAAAGTAGAAGATCTCCAAAGTCTTGCTTTGCCCCAAAGATGTTCAAGAAAACAGCTTTTTTATGATTTGCTTGAGTGGTGGCACATCTGGAGGAGCCGCAACTGCGAAATTTCATGCCTCCAGAGATATAGAAGATTGGTATTTTGGAGGAAGAAACTGCAATCATGAGGGTTTTTGGTTGTCCTCTCTCGTCTCTTCTTTTTTTTGAGATGGAATTATGGATGGATGGTGCAAAATGATTGAAAGAGGGGAGAAGAGGCATTGAAATGATAAGCAGTTAATCAGGTGACATGGCCTCTTCCACTGAGCACCAGGGACACATGAAGGATCCCTATGTACCGGGAATTTCTTAGCTCAGACACACTTGTTGGGTCCAAACCCAAACTGATTTTGGTGTTGATTCCCCAGAATTGATGAGAGCTTGATTTTGGAACTCTACGTGGCCCTGTTCACATTTTTGTCACCGTCATTCCCTGTCATGCCTTTGGTTCCGGATGAAGATGTGCATGTTTCTTACATGATTCTTATCTGCCAAGTACCCTGTTGCCAGAGAACTCTTTGTCTTGGCTCATACATACTTGAATTATCTGTCCCTCGCCCAACAGGCTAAGAATCATTCTTTGCCCCCCCCGCCCAACTAAATAGTTAACCTTATAACTTGACTTGGCCATCTGATCTCTTTCCTCCAGGTTTCCTCAGTCGGAAATCTTGATTGGTATTTACACACCGTCTCTTGAACTTTGGCAGGACAACCGAAATGGAACTGATAGATAAGATATCCACACCCAAATCATTCAATGTACCCGACACAATCGATCCTCAAATTGCCATGTGGGGCTCTACTGCTACAAATACATAAAATTGAGTTATTTATAATGAGCCTTCTCAATCCAAAGACTCCGAATAGATTGGATCAGGCTATCACGAGGCTGAGAAGGGTGCGTACCTCTTCTCAATAACAGCCGCCTTTTACTCAGCTCCGACTCGAGTGCAAGCTAAATGGTTGTGTGTATACATAAATAGTCTTTATTCGACCAATTTCATGAACCAAGCAACTGGCTCCAAAGTGTTTTTCGACATGTCATCATCGGCTCAAGCGGCCATACCATAAACACACACTTCTTTCTTCCTTAAGGGCGACTGGATTGGCTCTTGAATGGCTGCAATAATTATGAATTTAGATTAACCCAAGCTCGCTATCGCATCGATCATTCCTCGATGATTGTTGTCTGGCTCTTTGATCATACTATAGCCAGACTAGCACACATAAATATTTATTTAACCCATGTCGGTTCATTGACAGACAGCCTGCGCCTACACCTTGCTTGTCTAATCTTGTAGATTGATCTAATCTGGCAGCCAGCCACATAGTCAGCGCACCGGACGATTGGGATCGGCCACAAGTCATTGCAACCTCTGGACTGTACGTACCCAGGGTGTTAGTCTGTCATTACAGTCTACTTGGCCTCCTACTTCCCCTTCCCCTGTTCTCGCTGGATTCCCCCTCCACTGTGCACAGCGTTTCGAAGTAACATCTAGTGAGATTACAGTAGCTTACCTTCGAGACTTGCACAAGCGATCAATTCCACAAGCTTCCAAATCAGCCTTTTTCCCTCACTAATAGTAATAGCCCTCAGAAGCTGACACGCCCACTTTCGATGCAAGGTGCCGGCTTCTTGATTGCAGTTTGAGCTCTAGTTGTTCTCTCGATTCCTACGATTTACAAGCAAGAAGATGGCCATGGCTTACCGGCGCCATTCGAACGCTGGACCGAACTGGAACCGAAATTCTACGTTCCCCCCAGCAGCGACCAGCAGAGCACCATCGCCCTCGTTCAACCAACGAAGCATCCCAAGTTCTCTATTGCCATTGAAGCCGAGCGTGTCGCGTTCTCCATCTCTAAGCGTAACAAGGCCGACTTCTGAGAAGTCACTGTTATATCAAAGTACTAGCAACGCAGAGGAGGCCTCGCCTTACTCGATCCCGCCCGTCGCCGAGGAGCCTTGTGATCAACAAGAAGATCAGACGCGTTCACAAGAAAGGCCAAAAGAGAAGACTCGCACGAAAGAGGATACTCTCGGGAAGGGGAAGGAGCCCGCGCTTGTCAGAAACAGACCCGTATATCATGCCAATCGCCAAGCGGTGGCCTCGTCTTACTCGATCGCGTTTGTTTCGGAGGAGCCTTATAAGAATCAAGAACAGGCGCGTTCGGAAGAAGGATCTAGAGAGAAAACCAGCACCAAGGAAGATCATTCGGGCAAGGGGAAAAAAGAGCCAGCGATCGTCAGGACGAGGCCGATCTTCCATGCGAACCTAGAGGAAGCCAAAAAATATCACGAAAACCGCCTCAAGAATTCCTCATCAACTGGGAAAAAGAGGCCGATTTCGTGCGAGGAAATCCTCAGTCGATATTGCGACCAGTTCAACTTTCAACTGCCGATCCTCGAAGTGATTCGTTGCAAAGAAAAGACGAGGAAGCGGGTCTTTCTGCGGATCAAACGACGCCTGGTGGGCATTGGCGAAGGCCAGACGACCTTCGAGGCCATCCTTGCCGCCTACGACGATACAGTGCTCTACCTCTTCAAGGGCGACTCGCAACTAAAACAACAGCTCCTTCAACCTAATGAATCGATCGAATGGAGTCAAATGAAGACCACTCAATCCTCCTGATCCTCCCTGAGCTCAGTGAGTGTTATACTCATACATGCTTTGCTCTTTCTTGCCAAACAGAGAACTCAGTCAAGAATCTCTCTCTCATCAACAGATTTCGCTGGTGGGCTTCCTTCTACATATTCTAGATAACCTCACAAGGCTCAAGATTCAAGAGATTACAAAATACCCGTTCGACATCAAGTTTAAAAAAATAACATCTTGAATGTATCAAACACGAATAGCCTTAGCTCTACTTCCCCGTTATCTTTATTCTCTTGTGCTACCTTTTCCAGCTTTTTGCATACTCACGTAAACAAGATAATGATCCTCGATTGTCTGATCAGCCTGTGCCCATCCAGCTATCAGCAAATCTCTGAATCCTTCCCCAATTCACTTCCACTATCTTCTCCTCATCGTTGAATTCTCTCGCACTTGATCATCCGATGTGTATGCTGTTTATTGTCTATTATAATCGATTGTAATTACATTCTCTTGCAAAAGCTCGCCAAAGAGGAGCTATTTGCTGTCATTAATTGAGAGCATCCGTATCGGTGGCTACATCTGCGCGAGCTATTAAGGACTTTAGCCAGGAAATTCAACCACACCGAGCTGAGCTAAAGTCAACAAGCCAAACTAGCTCGTGGCTCCGATTGGAGCTAACGGTTGCTACAAAAATCTAGCAACGGTGAGTATCAGAACTCGATCCGATTCATACTCCGGAGAGAGGGCTCGGCCCGCAGACGCTGGCGCTCCGCGCGCACCAGCACACTTTTAACTCTCGAGGCTGAGCGAGACTCCCCGTCCCCGTCCCGAAGCCTTCCCCGAATGCCCTTCAGATCGAATATCTCGGTTTCCCCTCCATCGAGCTCGCCAGGCTTGTGCTCGATCAACCCTCGATGTCCACTCCGGCCAACAATCCCAACGCGGAAGGCGCTACCTCCTCGGCGCCTGAACCCTCGATCAGACAGCTTCCTGTGCCTAGCACACCGAGAGATGCGCGGATCATCGCCTTGCTCTTAGCTTCCATGGGCGTCCAATCGGCTTCGGAGGGCGTCGTTCGAGTTCTAATGGAGTTTGCTCATCGTCAGTAGTTCACTAGTTTGGCATGGCTATTCTCCTCACGCGATCTCCAATTTTCTAAGCTCTCGGAAACCCAAAGGTTACACGGTCGACATTCTTTCGGACGCTCTGGTGTATGCCGAACACGCTGGAAGGGCGCACGCTGCACATGGACCGGACGTTGAAGATGTTCGTCTAGCCGTTCAGGCCAAGGTGGAGCACTCGATGAGTGGACCGATGAGCAAGGAGGTAAGCTCAAGTAATCAAGCTGGCCCCACCCAATCTGTATTTTGGCTGATCGGAGTGGATGATCACCAGTTCCTACTTAATCTGGCCGACAACCTCAATCGAACGGCGCTTCCTCCGATCCCCGAGCGCTACGGGATCCGACTTCCTCCTGAGAAGGATCGCTTGACGGCTCCGAACTTCGATATCGCTCCCAAGCCCCCTCCGACTGAAGTCGAAAGCCCAAGCGATCACGAGGAGGGCATGTTTGGAGGAATCGATGACGACGACAGTAGTGACAGCGATAGCGATAGCGACACGGAGATGGACTTCGCTCCCGTCATCAGCATCAATGGCAATGGCAACTTGGCATCTGATCAAGCTAGAAGGAGACTGGAGGATGTTGAAGAGGATGATTACGATTGACCTTGATCGGGGGTTTTCTTCTCAAGTGACTCTGTAATCTATAAAAAAAAATTCAATTTTATTGAAAAGGTTTCTGTAATTTAAAAGTGATTATTGAATGTAAGGCTGAAGCGGGATTATCGTGGGTCAAGTTTATGTCCGGCATAACGGACGATCCACAGCGACCTCTTGGTTTGAAGAAATTTGACTTGATCTTGTGTGTAAATGAATCCCACTAGGCAAATAACAAGAGCTTGGTGTACAACCTTTAGTATGTATTACATAGTCAAAGAAATAATACTGAATCACAAGTTTCCCCGGACTTAGGCTCTATTGATTTGAAGTAAATCAAATGTCATTATGAGGGATGAGAGTCGTGAGGAGTAGTGGAAGGGGCAGAGGATGTAGGCGGAGGAGCACTAGTAGAAGGAGCGCCCAGAATCGACTCCATCGCTCCATTCCAGCCGGGGGCAATCAGCCTCAAGGAGTCCAACCTGCTCTGTTCTTTCTCGAGCTCGATCCGGAGCCGCTCTGCTTCTTTTCGGAGTCGACGGTCCTCCAAGTAGGTTTGCGTGGATTGTAGGGTGGTTTCCCAGTTGGTCGGGTGGGATGAGAGCCCATGCAGATATCTTATCGACGATGGCTCCAACGTATATGGATACACAAACTGTGATTTTTGGGATGGAAGACAAAGCAAAGAATGGGGTGGAAAGCCTGCTCAGGATCGCAATCGAACAAGTGTTTGGAACAGTGCTAAGGAAGAGAAAGATAGTTATTCGAAGGCGTGGAAACGGGGAGTGAAGGACATACATATGCGGTGACGTCTTCAGGCAACGGATGGAGGTCGCTCGGACAAGCAATCTGAGCAGGCGAGTTCAACCGATCTCAATTCAGCGGTCCACGGGATGCTTCCCCCAAGACAAAAAATGATCAGCAGACGCTTACTGGTTTGGGAAGCCATGTGCCGGGCGCCCTGATCAGGGGAATGTTGGACGCAAGTAATGCATCGGGGAGGCCTGCTTGTTGGGCGGCCATCGATCCTGGTCTTGCAGTCATCTTTCCACTGGAGTTCGTTCGGATACAATGTGTGGGGAGTACCAGCTCGAATGTTGGATGTGGTTTCCCATCGTTCATCGTCTTCATGTCATCTTCGGTGGTAGTGCTCACTCAGATGCGCACATCGGGCGGGCCGGCCCGGCCCACCAGTGCTTCTTGTTTTGTGTCCCCCCTCATAGGGCTCTGCACCCAACTCATAACTCATGATATGGGGCCTGAAATACACATTTTGCCTTCCCAGATCCTTCTTCAGTAGAGGAGTTCCCAACACCTTAATTTGAGAATCCTCCCAAGCTTTTTTTGAGTGTTGAAGATGGACATCAAGTTCTCATTATTACCAAATAAATAAATATTTATGTAGACCTTGTTGGCTTTCGGCATTCAAAATTGAAAAAAAAAATAAAAAATGATAGTCCAACATATCAAGTCCAAAACTGAGATTTCCCAGATGGATTAACTGATTGCCAAACTCCAGAGAAATGCTGAGACTAATTAGCCATACAAATTTGTTTGACACCTTCACATGACAAGTAGCTTGACCAAGGATCCTGGAACAAGTAGTTGCTTTGGGCAAAGTGAGCACCTCAGCAATCTGTAGTGGTTGTTGTGTTAAAAAAGTCCCATACAATTAACTAAATTCTAGTGGAGATTCAGAAACCAGAGGGGATTTTAAGCAAGCTCATAAACCAACAAGTCACTTCAGAAGTGCTGCAGTGTTGTGATTTGTTTTCTGTAAACATCTCAAGCTACATTAATTTTTCGGGACTGAGTTCATATGCAGCTTTTAATTTTGGCTCCAGGAAGGGCCTGAAGTTGAAAAATGAACTCATATCAAAGATCTGTACCACATGCTGCTTCGTTAAACCCTTCCCATGCCAATTTGTCCCATCAATGCGAATTTTTGAATTGTGGTCAAGGTTTGACTTGATTTCTAAACACCTGGCGGTTGGTTATGTGCCCAAACGGGCTTGATCTGCTTGCAACTAAGTCTTAAGCAGAGAGCAGTGGCCGGTCAACTGTACAAAGTAGCCTCTTCCTTTGGTTTGAAAGAACACCGAAAAACATGACATTGATTTTGAAGTAACAAACTAAAAACTAAAAATCTACCGGCCTAACTTTTGAGCCTTAGCGTACAAAGATTCGACAACGCTACCGATCTGTTTAAAAGTATCGAGCGAGTAATCATACATCTTTTCGGTTTTAACTTCCTCGAAGACCTCCAAACAGCCTTCGCCCTGATCCAAGATTCCCGCAAAGACCTTGTCGAGGATCATCTGCGACAGTTTCGCCTCGACGTCGCGTAAGGGCAGTTTGACTTGTTCTGCCACAAAACTCAATTCGATCCTCGAGTAAGGCTCAATGATCCGTATCAGGTTCTGTTCCAGCAGTGTGTCATACAGGGCCGCGAGATGGTTGCGAACGATCGGGTCATCCGATAACTCTACAGATTCCATCGAGTTTTATTGACGTGATAGAAATGAGATTCTATGGCTTCGAGTATTGGTTGGGTCAAACATTGATTTGCTTACCGGCTTTATAGACCTTCAAAGCTTCTTCGAAATCGGCCAGGCTTCTGTTCTCATGTGCCTTGGCGATTGCCTGCATGGCTTCGGTCCCTCGCCCAGCGTATTTTCGGGCTAGTTTGGAGCCTTGAATACTTGAGACATCTTCGGGCTGAACTCACGTGAAATCAGCTTCAGCCATTGAATGTGAATAAAAAAAAACCCCGGTTAAGAGAAAGCTTACCAGATTGAGCATCACTTTGCACATTAACATACACTTTAAGGCTAAAGATGCTCGCGGGTCATCTTGAGTAGCTAATCCTTCGAGCGCCTCAAAAAAGTACGAATAGCTGTTCTTTCAGAAGATTCATCAATTTGGATTCAGTTCCGTATTGACAATAGTATAAATCTGATATTGCTTACGCCGTCTTGTAATCTTTTTCTTCTGCGTGCAAGACACCTGACTGCATGTCCAACTGGGCCTGAAGTAAGGGTGGACAGTAAATTGAGTTTGCGGCTGTTCTAGCAGAGATTAAAGCTGCCTAGGAACGGGATCAGATGGTCAGCGCTCAATGAGGAAGGATTATCCAAGCAAAAATTAAACGAAATGGCAGGGTGTTGTCACCTTAGCCTTTGGTGGATCCGAGAGAGCATGCCGGATTCTGCTTTCCAGTAGATGAACTTCAGTGAGAATCATCTTATCGTCCAATTTCTTGAGCTCTTTCAAAAGGTTTGCGATCAAACCCAGGGCCTCTTTAGTCTGTTGATACTCAAACAAAAGACTACAGAGTTTGATCTCGAGATTCTGGCGAAGGAATACACGTTTCTCCGTCCGCGCCCACTCGACATTCTCCCTAGTGATGACGATTTGAGTTTGGGAGGAACTGGGGTGTTGGTTGAGGGGCGCCTGCGAGTAGAAATCGATCAAGGTCTTGACTAGCTTAGCAGTCTTGGCTTTGGCAATCGCCGACATGAATGACCGGCAGCATCTGATGGCCGAGGCCAGTCCTTCCGGGTTCCTGTTGCAAACAAAAGAGCGTATTCAGATCTCGAGCCAAGTTGGATTGGTGATCATCAAACAAGTTATCTCACTTTGAATCTCGATAGTACTGCCCCAACCTGATCAAAGCCAGCTCTTTTTCTCTTAAGATAGCGTCATCCTTGGTATCTGTAACGATTCAAAAAGGAACTTATTGGCCGGTCAACTACGAGTCGATTTTGGCAGCATATAAATCAGGGGACTGACCAGCTGTTTGAGAGATGATGCTCATCAGGACATTCTCGGCCTGGCTATCTTGGTTGTTCTTGAACAGGCGTTCGGCTTCGACAACAGTGGTCATTTTGATTGATTAATGTGTGGATGGTGAAACCGGATGATTGAGTTTCTTATGATGGTGGTCTGTCGATTACGCAATCCAGCCGTTCTTGATGATCGACCAGCTCTCGGTGAAGGGGGGCTCCAGGGGCTAACCCCCGGGGGGCTCCTTGCTCAGCACTCTTCCTATGACGACTGCTCCCCACTATCCGGCAGTGGCGTTGGCTCTCCTTCCGAACTTCAACCATCCATCACAAACAAAATCACTCCGCCATGTCTTCAGAACCAGTCAACATCGCCCCTGCCGACGAAACCAATCCAGTGCCGATCCCCAACTTACTCCAGCAGGAGCGACGTTTTGTACTCAACCAACCCAATTGCTCTGCTCTTCATGAACAGGCAGCAAAGGAACTTTTACAAGGCATCATTCAAGATGGTCAGTCATACTTCTCCCACTATGACTATTTTCTGTCGTCTGCACCTCCTGGAAATCACGATCCGCAGGAATTGACAACAGGACTTTCTCACAGAAATGGGACCGTTTCTCGAGACCATCCTAAAATCAGATTCGACGACGATTTCGAAGACGTTTCAAAAGATCGTACCCAGCCAACTAGTCTCGGAGCTATCGGCAAAAAACAAGGAACACATCGAGTCCATCCAAACTAAACTGAACGATGCCATCGAGAACTTGGGGGAAACTGAAGTCTCGGATCTCTTACGGACAAAAGCCCTCTATCTCTCCAAGATTGGTGCTGAAAAAGCTCTCAGTGTGGCCGCGTTCGAGGAGGCATTGAAGAAACAGGCCGGACTGGGAAGCAAAATCGACCTCAGGTTGGGTCTCATTCGGGTGGGATTCTTTCATGGAGATCATCAATTGATCATGGATCAAATTCTCGAAGCCAAACAGTTGCGTCAATCACCTCAAATTTTATATCATTTTTTTTTTCTGTGCGGACTGATTTTAATTCCGCTTTGCGTATTCAGACTCGTTGACTCTGGAGGTGACTGGGATCGTCGAAATCGTCTGAAGGTTTATCAAGCCATGAACTTTATGGCGGTGCGGAACTTTAAAGAGGCGACCCCTCTTCTACTCGACACTCTCAGCACATTTACAGCCACCGAATTGTTGAGCTATGAGGACTTTGTCACGCTTACTGCGATTTCGGCCGCGCTTACGCTCGAACGAAAGGATATGAAGAAGAAGGTAAAAATTTCAATGCTCCGTTGTTTTTCTCCACCGAGTGCTAAATGAATTATGTTGCCAAATTCCAGCTCATCGAATCCCCAGAAGTCATTCAGATCATCCCCGAACGACCCCACTTACACGTTATGGTTTGCGCGATCCACAACACAGAGTACGACAAATTCTTTGTTGAACTTGCCAAAGTAGAGCAAACATATCTGTTGCCATCCAGGTGGTTATCAATACACGCGAGGTATTACGTTAGAGAGATGCGAATCAAAGCATATAGCCAATTACTGGAGAGTTATCGAAGTGTCAGTATCAAGAGCATGGCTCAAGCCTTTGGAGTGACAGAAGATTACATCGACAGGTAAGTTGATTTAAAATTTCCCTCAAAACGCCTCTGGCATTGAATATATACTGATTGACATCTTGTCATAGTGAACTGGCACGGTTTATCGCAGCTGGTCGGTTGAATTGTGCGATTGATAAGGTCAATGGGATCGTCGAAACCAAGCGAGCAGACGGGAAGAATGCGATGTATACATCAGTGCTCAAAAATGGCGATGCCCTACTAAACTCAATTCAAAAGCTCAGTCGTGTGATTGGATGAGATTCCTGTTTGCAATTATCATTCCAAGATGCTCCTTCATCCGGAGTTGTAATTTAAAAAACATGTTGACGTGTGTTCACTGAATTAGACTTAGCAGTATTATTCCAATCTTTCAACTTTAGGCTGCAGGGGTACGTGCTTGACCATTTTTTCAGTCAGGTTCAGATGAGGAGGTGCTTCAGTGAGCTTGATGGTCAATGGACCCTGCTTGTACCGGGCAGGTTCTTCTAACAAATTGTCTTATATAGTTTTTGACTGGACTCAGTTACACCTGACATCCGCAGAATGCTACACAACAGAATATGTCCCAAGAGGCTAAGGTGTCCTTTTGAGCAAGTTTCGTTCTCACACAAGAAGTTGCTACCTCTAAAACGTTGATTCTTTGCTTATTTTAGTGATGAGTCGACTTGAAATTCCTCTTGCATGTATCCTATTACTTGGGATGAGCCACTTCAGTCTCAGTGTATTATATGATACAAGTACAGATATTAATACGAACTGACACATGATTCACCTTAGTTTAAAAATGAGGAAAGAGAATGATATATGAATGGAAGAGGCAAATAATTAAAAGTTAACTGATGAACAAGTAAGCCAAGCAGTAACGGTCCATTTTGAAAACTCTATGGAGTGGTTTGGAAAAGACTCTGGATCCCCAAAATAAATAGGTAAAAATAAAAAAGCAAGAAGACTAGGCCAAGACTTGCTCATAAGGCAAATGAAAAAATAATCAAATTGAATGTTCAAGTATTCCTGAAGGAAAGAATAAGAACAGCGTCGAATAAGTTGACTTGATCAAGTACATAGCGATATTAACAAGAGGCAAATTACACAATGTAAAGGTCGACTAGAATTTGAAAATCTGCTTCACGGGGAAGAGATATATTTTTTAGTTGTGATCCTATGGGGAAGAATACGTTTCACACGTAGTGCTCTACATTTCCTACCTCAGCCGGTTTTTCCTGAGAGGTTTTTCTGCGCCTTATCGAAGGAAAGGAAACTCTCCAAGATCTGGGGCTCAAGTTGAGAGGAGAATGCCAGGACCAGGGGCGGTTGAGAGGAGAATCGTCTCCCTCGTAAATCTAGATGGGCACCGCAATGATAAATACGTGAACACCTTCGACGTTGTAGGTTGATAAATTGCGAATCAAAAAAAAACGACTTACAAAGAAGTCATACAGAAAACATCCAAATAACGCTCCCAAGAGATTCGAGACCCCTTTGAAGAATGAAAGTTCTTTCAGTTTTTGGCAAGACGATGGAGATTATTTAAGTTTTGTTTGCTCACAATTATTCCATATCCAATACTGATCTCTGAACGACCAATGAGAGGTTCCATATCCCATCAAGGTGACTACAATTCGACTGGAGAGGTCCAATGCTGGATTGAGAGCATAGGAGGTCTGCGAACCCAGTGCAAACGCCACGCCGATCACAACACACATGAAGACGATTCTTTGAAAGTGAAAATTGTTTGAGAATGAGCCAGTCGAAAGAACGCAAAAGAAAGAGATCAAAATAATCAAATTGGGTATAAAAGAATGGGAAAGACTAACGGGCTAATACCGTCGGGTGGAGGAGAGTTTGTGCGATCACCAATGGCCATGATGAATAGCAGAACGATGGTTGAATCAAGAAACTGCTGAAAGAAGCTGCAAAAATCTGAAAGGAAGTGCAAGATTCAGCTTGTGAGCACAATACGCAAAATCCACAATCTCGAAAACTTACTGGACATGTATGGTGCCGGATAGCTTAGAAAAAAGCCAGCAGTGGAAGAGGGGCCGCTGATAGTCCGAATACCCTCCCCACCTTCGTATACGTCCAGTCCGCCGGCGTATCTATTAATTCACCATCAGCCTCACTGACCTGGGGCATACCAATTAATAATTGGCCTCAAGCACGAAGCTTACATCAATTGAATGGTCAATGATCCCATCAAGCCTCCGAAAACCTGAGCACTGCAATACGGAATAACTTTTTGCCACGGACTTTTTGTTACAAAAAAAATGGATTAGCCTTTCCGCTTGAGTTGAGATTACTGAGATTAACACTGGCGCACAAGTCTCTGAAAATTGCCAGTGAGATGGTCACCGTCGGGTTGAGATGGCCGCCAGATATTCCACCGGCAACATACACCTGAAAGGGGAAAAAAAACGTTAACCACAAAGCGGACCAAGATGATTGTGGACCTGTGTAAGAGAAGAGCGCACTCCTATCATGACTGCAATTGCAGACCCGACGCATTGTGTCGCGTAGTTCCCTTTGGGGGAAGAAGATATCGCACTATTGGCAGTCAAATATACCTCTGATAGTGGTCAATTAAATCAGCATAAGGCCTTTGTAACTTGGAGAAAAGAAAAACTACATGTACTTACGTGTTGAAGCTCCGCCTAGAAGTAAACTCCCAAAAGACACATTTAACGTTGGAGAAAAATTACTAAGGGCTGTGATTTACTGACCACTAAACACCGCCAGTAAGAACGAGGCTAAATTTTTTGATGGTCGAAGGATTGTTAGTCTGCTATGTACCATCGGCAGATGGAGAAATCACACGCACCCAAAGCTTCTGCGGCAGGCTCACGGATCAGTGATTTGAACCTGTTTGGTTTAAATGAAATCGTCAGCCCGATGTCCTTCCAACAAACAGTGTGTATATCTTTCAAAACTGACCTTCGATAACGGCTGGAGTAAGTCGGATTTCCCGTGTGATCTCGAGCTATTGTCACGGGAGGTAGTCCACCTGCACCTCTAACAAAGCTAACATTACTGGAGCGGTAACTTTTCGGGCTTACTGGAACATTATCTTTCTCATTTTGTTCAACCGCAGTAGATTCGCTAAGATCTGGTCTGCCGATGAACTCGGGTCTAGCAACGGGGTCCTGATACTCGTCGGCTCTGTGTCTGCGTTGGCTGGCCTGTGTCCCTCGGGAATTCCTGTGGTCATCCACTGGAAAGCTCGTGCGAACTCTTCGAGAATCACGATTCCGGGTCTCCTCTAGAAAGCTTCTGAGTAACTCGGGGGTGGCCACAATGTATTGGTCTTCAGAGAGATCACCCAACCTTAGAATGTGCATCCCGGTTTGGGTGACCGATCCGGCTGCCAATTCCGCCCTTGACTCCGGCGGCCGATTAGTGGAGATAGGGAAATTTTTCAAGGAACCAGTCTGCAGATTCATCTGCGCTGCAATGTCCTCAATCAGTTTAGTTGGGGACCGGCGCCGGAGTGCGGTGGGTTCGGGAAAAGGTCGCCCGAGAGAGTAGAGTGGTCGGTCACGCTCGGGTGATTTTTGAGGATTCAATTCGGATAGTGAGAAGGTTTGTAGACGCATCAAGCGGTGTGCTGGCCTTCCGATCGTAGCTTCGTGAGTCATGTTGGACGAGACATAGTTCCCGCGTCCGCGATCATTATCAAGACTTGTTCCCCGCGTTTCGGGCTCGGCGGCTGGATCTGGTTGGGGCTGGTTCCAAGTGGCGGAATCGATAGTCTCGGCAGCTTCGTTCTCGGCTTGCATTACGTGAGAGAGTCTTTGTGGAGTTTTGGAAGATAAAATCGAAGGGAAATGTTGGGGAAAGGAAGGATGACCTTCCAGTAGAATGGGTTGATAAAGCAAAAAATAACTCGAGGCTCAGAGACAAGGTGGGATGTGGTCGGGCAACCACAGAGTATGATGGCTAATAGTATACCTCCTCCCTCGGCCGTGTTGCGTGGTTTGAATGACCCTAGTACCCTCTAGATGTGAAGTCCTTCCAGCACTTGTGATGAGCCTAAAGGGATGTTGCATGTAATACTAACGGATAGAAAGCATCAAGTCAACGAACAAATGCTCGCACGACTAAATGAGCAGATCATGTCCATGAGATCGGGAGTGGATCAGTTTCAGCAATGATGCATGCACCCGGCGCGTTATAGCTTATACCCTCCCGGCGATGGACCTTGGTCCCTCTTTATTAATGCCACCGCATACTGAATACTGATCTAAAAGGATCCGCCCGACACTGCTTGTAAAAAGTGCTCCAAGCAAACCTCCAGCACTCGTTTGAACTCGTGCTCATTGGGATTTGGAACCGACCCTCACGCGCCTGCTCGCCCCAGTGATCAATTTTTGTGCCCAACGGGGTATATCTATGTAGCCATCGCAACCAGGTTTGTTCGACGCCCGGACCGGGACATAGATGCCCTTCTCGGACTAGCAGTGGTAGAAAAGGAGCCTACACAAAATCCCTCAATTTGCCCCAGTGGTTCATCTTATGATAGTCAATGATCATCAATGGCCCATATAATCAGATGGCGAGACTCAAGAATCAGCAAACAGTCTCGTTACGGTACGGCCAAACTGCCGCTCAGGTCACTTCTCCTCACTTCAATCCTGTCTCTACAAACCACGTGATCTTGGGTTGGATTGATGCAATCAACCCCGATAAATTATGAGCGTTTTTTACTTTGGCATCAAGACTCTGACTTGGTGCTTGCTTCAGATCTGAGATGATCCGGCCTCGGTAGCTGTCCTGCCATCTCATCTCGAGTCGTCTTCCCCTTACCAAGTTTCTTTCTTCCGGCAACCATCGATGATTTTGAGATTTGCAAGTATGTATGATAAGTGAAACATGTGTCTCCGCGCCAACTGGAGAAGTTTGACTAACAGCAGTCAAGCTCACTTGGTCCTGTGGAAATATTCTGCCATGGCTGATAATTAAGCCAACATGTTTGAGTTGCAGAACTCCTGTTTTTGAACACCACCTGACTTGAGAGTCTGAGTGAGTTGAGAGCTTGAGGCTGGTTGGAATCGTACTACTCAACACGGCTGAGAGTACTCAAAAGCATTTCTACTTGCACTTAAGAGATTTTATTGTGTAACACATCAACATCAAGTCCTCCAGTTACTTCAGAAAAAGCCACAAAGACTACAGATCCATCTCAACTGAACTTGCAGGATTTTCAGTTGGCTGGTCCAATTGGGATCCATGCTGGAAAGCCCAGTTTGGGTTATCAGGTGGAGTATGAAACCACCAATTTAGGCTTTTAGTCATCTGCCTTTCAAAATCCAGAACTAGGTTTTTTTTTCCCTGAAAACCAGCACATAAGATTGCAACTTCTGGTCATTTGGAATGAAGGTACCAACAGGCCATAGTCCCAGATAGTTCTCTGGATGAAAGTGATAAAATTCAAGCAACTAGAATGTTTCATTTTCATTAGAATAAGTCTAGGCACAAGTAATAGAGAATATGTTTAGAATTATTATGTACCTAGAAGCAAGCGAGACTCTGCTAATGTTGTTTATAGAAGACTGGATGAGAGAGAAATAGTTTGGACGAGAGAGTAATAGTGAAAAGAGTAGGCGAGAAAAGATTCTGTTTTGTGCCATGAGTTGAGTTCTATCATTACAAGCAATACCCATTTTGCCCCAGAAATAAATGGCAATTTGGGTGGGGGAAAATGGATCAATTTTCTGGAAATTTTTTCCAAAATGACTCAGGAGTAGAAATTAGGCTAAACTGAGCTATTTTAGCCCAGAGATAGAAATTCATCAAACATTCCAAAATGAATTTTTAGCTCATTTGAGACATTTTTATTTTTTGGCTAAAATAGCTCATTTTAGCCTAATTTTTTACTCCTGAGGCATCTTGTAAAAAAGTGCCAGAAAATTGATCTGTTTTCCACCATCCAAATTGCCATTTTTCCTTGGGGCAAAATCAGTATTGTTTGTAGTGTATGTTAGTGACTGTGCTGCATTACGATCACTATTAGTGATAGCTGATCTTACTTTTCAGTTCTTGGGTCGAGCTTTGTCTTTTAGTTTGTATCCGTTATTGGGCAGTACAGTTGGCTTCTGTTCAGGAAACAGTTCTGAATCAGTCTCGACTTCTTTTCTTTTTCTGTATGACACAAGGTTTTTCTTACCTTTGTTAGTTACAAGGTATGGTCTTGTGTTCTGGTTGTTGACGGTATCAGTGGCTACTGGTTTGTCTAAAGAATAAATCTTGTATTAGTTATTGGTCTAATTAAGTTATTCTTGGTCTGGTGCTCACCGATAGGTTCGCTTAGCAAGTTCCTGTTGGTCAAGGCTACTGCGATGGGGGATGATAGTTGATCAAGCAAGCTGATATTTAAGGTAGACGAAGGTCAGCCTGTGGGCTTGCTTGTGCGTTATCTTTTCTGAGTTTAGCCTACTGCGGACTCACCTCCTGTTTAGACCGGTGCAGTCGTCAGGTTCTGTCGCGTTGGTGGATTGGCTGTGGTCTATAGATTTCATCTTAGTTAGTTGTCTTGTTCTCCTAGATGGTTTATCTCTTGGTTTAGTGATGGTGGCTTACCAATCACTGCTGCGTGTTCTGTCTTTTGAGTTCTAGCCCTTTTTGGGGTCAGATCTCTATTTTCTGGATTTGAATTCCAACAGAAAGTGGGCCAGGCTGGTCCATGGGCTACCTGTAACCTGTAACATGGCGGCTGTCTTGACTCTAATGCCAGATCCTACAGATGTCACATGTTCTTGGCAGCAGAAACTGACAAGCTGGGTTGTTTCACCACAAATTTCTAGGAATTGCGGAAACCTTGGGTAAATGGATTGGAAATGGTGTTGAAAATTGCATACACAGTTGTGAACATTGAATTTCAAAGGGAGGTTTGGTAGGGAGTTAAATCCCAGACTGCCATGCTATTAGCAATCCCATATCCAATTTTAAGCATCATAAAAATCACTGGAAGTTGTCCAGTGATGGAATTCTCATATGTGTGTTCTGCAGACCCTACATAATCACACTTCTGCCACAGGAATGAAATCCAATTTGAGAGGCACATATATATACAATTTTGAGCACCATGATAAACAAGTGGAAGTTATCCTGCAATGTTTTTTGGATTGGTTCTCTAGGCCTTGAAGAAATATATTTCTAGAATGAAATCCAATTTGAGAGGCTCTTAACAATAAACATGAGACTTGTATTGGAAGACTTCCTATTGGATTTCTAAGGACAGATGTTGAGAGATAAATGAAAAGCTTGTTCAAATCGTCCTCAGTAAATACCAGTGAATAAATGAAACATGGACTGGCTGAAATTCTTTCCTCCAAAATCTTCACATAAGTTCACCTCTAGTTATCTTGTATTCTAATCTCAGATGGTCTGGATTTATGGATTTAAATCTACAAATAATTATCATTGCAAGCTCATGAACAGAGTTATCTTCTAACATAATTTCATCAAAACTTGATATTATTTTACCAAAAACACAGTAGGGGGGAGTTCACAGTTGAAATTTACAAAATTTCTGGTGTTTATGAACAAATTTTTGAAAAACAAAAAGGTTGTTCTTATTGTTCAGAAACCACAAAATCTGTGTATTATGTCAAAATGCTAAAATTTTGTTGATAACAATCTTAGAATTGGCTATAAAAATTTGATAAATTTCAATTGCATTAAATGAAACCCACCTAATCTGTGCACCTTGAGGCATTGTATGAGGGTCATGCCAGACTTTCTTGGCCAGGAAAGTCTTGGATCTGCCTGTCTGAGCACCTCATAACGGAGTTGATGCTCAGGAATTGTGAGGAAAATTGTTAGCCAACTAAATAGGGAATTTTTGGCAACGCTTCAGAGGGATGTTATAGTCCAGATTAAGACCAATTTTCAAGTAGTTGAGGACATGAGCACCCCTCTTCACAAGTCAGGCCGGTCAGTAAGACTGTAGGCATGTCGGCCCCTCCTTGGCTTCCGTTCGGGCTATTTAAATTCTCCATATTCACATACTCTTGGAGGCTTCGCCATGTTCTGCATGGGTGTTCGCGAGATCGTCCGCCTCCAAAAAGAATTGCTGACATCAGCTGACATCGCCAAACAATTTGGGAAATTTTGGGTACGTATTTTTCGATGGCATACAGGTAGCTTCCGGCAAGAAGCCCTTTTCTGTAGTGAGAGCCTTGAGAAAAAGATGGCTACATAGCCAATCAAAATTGAGTTGGCGACGGTGTTTTGTTTTGACTCAGCTTTGTAACGACGATGCACATCGCAGACAGAGGAGAACCCATCCGAGAAAAATAGGCATCTGCGGTCCTCATGGCAGCAGATTGTGGGGGTACATACCAATTTTCTGATGAAGACGACTCCGAGCATTTTTCACTCATTTTGCAATAATACACAGTGTAATAAGTTAGTGAATGGAGTGGGGACTTCTGGACTCTGGACGCCTCGGTCGCGGCGGAGAGGTTTTCCGAAGGAGGTGTTCCACTTCCATTAGCCTCGGTCAGCCTCGGTTGTTTATTTTGACGGGAGCAGGCTTGTTGAGTTTTCCCGATCTTCTCTCCCAGTCACCACGGACCTTTGCTCATCCTGCCCAGTCGTGCATCCCGGGTCCACTCCTCTCGGCTCTCACCAGACCACACCCTGCCCCATACCCAAATTATCTTTCAGAGTGGACATCGATATACGCTACTTACTTGCCCAGCGACTCTTTGTGGTTTACGCCATCTACTTGAAAACAGCCAACTGCCAGCTCTCGCAGTGATCGAGCCTATCAAGATTCAAGCGTATACTCACAAGTTGCTTTTCACACAGCTTAACTAGCCAGTTTTGTGAAGTGGCGAGGTTGACACCGTAACCCCCAATCTTCTCTACTTCATATTTATTCTTGTTTTTTTTTTTTGAAACGTCATCGTTCTTGCTTCCCTGGGAGCGGTCGTGTTCCTTCGTCTGTAACTTCCCGCAAGCATCAACACAAGTATACCCCGCAAGGAAGCTCGTTTTGATCGGTCGGTATACCTATCCGCTCACAGGGTTGGCCTGAAGCTTTTTCGAAACCCTAATCTCCCTAGAAATATGCATTTCTTTGGGCCCTGGCTCGGCCTAACCACGTGTTATTTCGGGCTTGCTTGTTGCCATCGCACCTTTAACGAGCAAGCTATCCTATCTCGGTCCAAGAGTGGTGCGAAGTTGAATCAGTTATGCGCGTCAATTCTTTCTGGATGCTGATAAATATCATCGATGAATGTGACATTTTTACTAGGTTTTGAAGAAAGTCGTCTGGTTCCTGATCTGCTTCCGGCGTTTAACCCTCAAGGAATCCTAGCAGTAAGTTTTCTTTTTATTTTTGGTTGCTTTTTCACTATTGCGATTTCGCCTCTTGTTTCTTCCAAGCTGATCAACTCGCTCATCAACCCTTCAGATCCACTTTGCCGGGGATAAAATTCTTCGACATCCTGGGTTCAGCATGTCAGCACAAGACACACAGGCTGGCCCAACTTTTCAGCTATACCCTGGCTACACCGGCCAGCTGAATCCAGCAGATACGTTTACAATGATCATGGTAGACCCGGATTCGCCCATCCATGCCAACCCTTCCGGGTAAGTGATCAAGCCGTTCATCCCGCCGCTCAAACAGCTACGGCCGTCTTACTTGTGCCCCACTTCCCAGGGCCAAGTTGCACCTTCTTGCCACCGGTTTAGCTCTCGACCGACATCATCAGCCTGTCGAAACCTACAATCTCGTCAACAACACCCAATTTTTGGTAGATTGGCTTTCACCAGACCCGGAACCCCGCACGGGGGTCCATAGGTACACCTTCCTGTTGTACAAAGGTGCTGCCTCACAGGCATCAGTCCAGCCATTTCAGGCCTCGATGTTTAATCGATCAGGATTTAATCTCGCTCAGTTCACTCGTGATGCTGGACTTCAAGATTCGTATGCTGGTGCTTTCATGAATATCGATTCAGCATCACCCGAAAACCTAATACGACAAAGTGAGTATCGCTTTTTTGAGTGCTTTTACTCTCATTTTCAGTCCCATTTACTGCATACTTACCAATGCATACATCTGCGTTTTAATGACTCGGACCAGATGCTCAAGGCAGCAGCGCATCAGGCCGATCAATTGATATGTATACCTTCAGTATCACAATTATCTTATCCTGCTTTGGGGCGATTTACCTCTCCTGAGCTAATTGAGCCTGATATCATATTAATCTCGTTTTTCATGCCACAGTCTGATTGGAATGTACATTGACGCTGATTCTCACTTAAAGCTCTTTGAAATTGCTGCTTGTATTCTTTTTTCCTGATTTCTCTTGTTATTTCTATCCATGGAAAAGTGATTTCATTTTTTTGACAGTTCCAACTCTTGATACATATGTTACATGTGTGACCTGTTGAATTTATTTAATCTCTCTTAGCCTTTATTTTATTTTCTCTATTCAGTACTACTTTTGGTATATTTTGTAAAACAGGTTAATTTTGTTTATACATTCCAAAATTGATTGTTTACACTTGGGCTTCCCATATTGAATGAAACAAATAAAACAGATTTGTATTTTTATTCTTCTTAGTAGACAAAGCTTTAATTTGTCTGACTTTTGCACACTTGAGGTTGATCCAGTTAGCATTTCAGAAGGACAAAGCACACTAATTCCACAATAACATTCTCCCATATGCAAAATTGAGGGTTCTTTTTTGGAAAGTTTAGGAAACAAAGGTTTTGACTTTGAAGGACACCTGAATGGTTGGACCTCATCAAAGACAATTTAAATAGTTTAGCTTTTAATTTGGACGATGTTTGAGGGTTGGATAACTGTGAATGAGCCAAAATTACTCAAAGATGAACTTTTGGAAAAAGATTGGAAGTAAAAAATAAATTTATTTCTTATGATTAGGTATTGTAAATAAAACAAAGATAATACTAATAGTAAGAAAGCTTCCAAATACAGAGAAATATCGTTGCATCAATCAAATGGCAATTATAGTAAAATTAGTTTTATTAGTAACTATAAGGCAATAGAAAAGCAAGTAGCTATTGGAGATTCTTCCATATCTATTTTTGTAACATATTTTGATCAAGAAAATAAATAAAATTATGTTTTTACAATTCCTGTTAAGATTGATGAAAAGACTATCATTCTGAATTTAAACATAAGTTTTTACATTTTCCAGAAAAGTGTCTCATTTGATTACTGTAAGAGGTAATAAACAAACAGTTGCTCTATGTACAAATGTCAACTGCTGTGGCATGCATGCAATAGTCTACAGCTTCTAAACAATTTATGTGAAGTTATGGATTTTGCTCGATTTCCAATAATGTTGTTTTAGATATAATTTATTTCTTGTTTAAATTCATTTGATTGCACTGCCTAAAATAATTGCTTGGACAAGCTGGTTTGAGGACTTGTCGGACCGGCCTATCCAAGCAGTTCTAGGACTTGGCCGTCTGACAAGAGATTGGACTTGCCTGTCTGAGCAGATGTTCCCGCCTATGAACCGCTTGAACAGGCAAGTCCAACATCTTGTCAGACAGCCAAGTTCAAGAACTGCTTGGACGGTCCGGTCTGAGGACTCATGGGACCGGTTTGTCTGAGCAATTGATCCAGGCAGTGTTGATTTATAATCATTATCAAAAATAAAATGCACAACTGATACTGAAAAATTGGAATTGAATTGTTTTGCAGTTAGTGAAGGAAGTTGACTTTTCATTCAAGATGAGCTGATATTGAAAGCTTGGGATATGAAACAGATGGTATTTAAGGAAAATCTGTGGTTTGTTTTGGCATGTTTGAACTGGCTGGGGGAACCTAAGCAAATCAAATCCAAGAGCCAGTAAAGTGATTTGCTTCCCTCCTCTGCTGCTCTTCAGCCATTTTGATGAATGAATTCTGCTGGTGACATTTTGGAATGCTTGACTTGGTCAGAGTAAGGATGATGCTGGAAATCATTGGATATAATCCTTTCTGGAGGTGATCAGTAGACATCAAAGTGTTAATTATTTCAGGAGCAATGACAATGGGATGAGGAATGCTGGGTGTTAGCTTACACATTGGGGCATAGGGCATGGAATGATGGGAAAATGATCTTGCTTATATGCAGTGGAGAGGTGTTTGCAATAACCACATATAACTACTTGATGGATTAAGTTGAATGCTGTACAGAACCAAGTTGACCACCATGATGTAGCAAGTTGACCAGCACTGATGGCAAATAGGCCTCAAAAAGCAGCAATATGTGAAGAGTACAAAATGTTGAGCTCTGTGAGTGCAAGTTTCATCCCCAGGTGCAATGCCCTGCCTTCAAATTCACAGAGGACTGGTGGTGATTCTCTGGCTGCCATTCCCTATTTGCAGTTACAATAGGCTGACACCCATTACCCCCTCTCCAGTTGTACCTGCAATAGGCTGAGGGCCAATTTTTCTTTCCCCTCCTCTGCCTATTGCACTGGTATTGTAACTGGGCCAAGAGGGGATATGATCTGGCCCTTTTGGAAGGTCACTCCTAGGCACACTGTGTTTGAGGGCTTTCCTCCTTCTACTTTTTTTCCTTTTTGTATTTTTAGGGATTGATTTATTTTGACGTCTTTGTAGAAGGGAAAGCTTGTTTTTTTTTTTTCTTGCTTGTTGTAGAGGGCCATGATGGCCCCCAGAATGCGAGTGGCCGTCCTATTTGGAACCGCACCAGCAGACTAAGACCCTTGTTGCAGAATATTCCAGCAGAGTGATTCTCAATCACGGGCACGGGTCGCTGACGAGACCGACTTCTGCGAGGTTCAGCCAGTGGCAGGACAGGTTCATCTGTGTCTGACGACACTGGTGAGGTTGTTAGCATCCTGGGTCCAGGGTGTGGTGCCATGAAGTATGCAAAGGCAAAGCACCTTGTCATCGAGAGTATTAGGCTATGGACCCGTCATCACTAGCCAGGCGGTGGAAGTGAATGCTTACATCCGCCTGGTATCCCGTTGCCAAAAACGTGTTCGTCTGACGATTACTTTGCCTTGCACCTCTGCTATCAGTGTTTTTCTTCCTTGCCCTACCTAGCTTTGCCACTAAGAGATTGGGATTCGCTGATTGACATAAATTGGGGCCACTCAATCGCTCTTGTCAATTTCCACCATTCCTCCCACTGATCTCCTTGTGTCATAGAATTGTCTCATAGCTTTCTTTCATCCACCAATCTTCCAAAGTGCTCTGATAAAGAATTCGACTTTACAAACACTTCGGACTGTAGATAACTGTTTTATAAACTCACACACCACTTTTCTCTCAGAATGTCCTTCTCACTACCCCTCGTCAGCATCCTCATGTCCTGGATCAGTTATCAGTCCGTCAACGCCCATCCGTTTGGGATGTTCCCTAGTCCGGGTGGCGGTATGTCTGGAATGGGTGGTGGCATGCCTGGTATGGGTGGTGGCATGCCTGGTATGGGCGGCGGCTTCCCTGGAATGGGCGGCGGCTTCCCTGGAATGGGCGGCGGCTTCCCCGGAATGGGCAGTGCCAGCACCCCCGGCGCGACGGCTGAAGACCAGAGCGGTTCTTCTTCGATCAAAACCGAACTTTCCGAATCTTGCAAAAAAGCAGCCCACACTTTGTCGGAGGGCGAAGTCGCAACTTGCGCCAACATTCCGGCTCTCATCGCAATCTCTAAAGCCGAGGGATCTATCGTCCCTGCCATCAACGTGAGTTCACAAACTTTTCTTCACCCTCGACATTCTCTATCCCCTGATTATTGACCTTTCTCTACCGCACATTTTTTTTGTTTAGACCTGGATTACAGGCGCTTGTTCAGCTGTGCCATGTAGGCAAGAAGCGTTGAATTCCGCGGCCGAAAAGTTCAAAAAGGAATGTCAAAAAGACTTGGACGATGGATCAGCTCCGGCTATTGGAATCTATTCCCACCTCTTGCATTACAAGGAAGCCAGGTAAGTCGTAGATTTCGGGCCACTTGCACTTGGTTGAAATCGATCAAGTTGGACTGCGAGCTAACACTCTCATTCTGCTGGAATTTTTAGGAACACGGTTTGCACTCAGAGCAAGAGCGACTCGAAGTTTTGTATACCCCAGCTCATGGAGGGACTTGAAGAGAAAGCCGGCGAAAAGTTCACCAATGCAGGAATCAAGGCTTCCATGGCTGGTAAATTTACCAAAGCAGCCCTTGCTTTTATGCGTGTTCCAAAGGTTCGCAGATGGTTGATACTACTATGTGACTAATACGTCATCAATTCTGACAAAGCTCTCGGTTTATTTGCACACCAGGAAACATTTTGCACCCCTTGTAGTCATGCCCTTGCGACCCAATCGGCCATTATGGTAGAGGCCATAAGCAAGGACCCAAGGATCAAATTCGAACACAATTCCACTCCGCAAATGCAGAAAGCTAGCGAAATTTGCGGCGCCTCATTCGATGACCACAAGATTCCCGACTCGGTCCAAATTGCCGCCCCAGGAACCGGAAAAGCGGAGGATGGCGGAGCAAAGGACAAAGCCGACGGGCCTCCCAAACCTGAGGAGACCGAAGCTGGCTCTGAGACGAAGCCCGAGGACTCTGGTGCTCCTGCTGAAAAACCCTCGGACGCAAGCGCTGAGGCTGAGAAACCAAAGGATGGCCAAACTACACCCGAGGCCTCCAAGGGCTCCGCCGAAGGATCCGAGAAACCGAAGGACCAAGACTCTGGTACTCAAGAAGCTTAGGATGTCAAGACATGCCCGGGGCCCAGTCTACATTTTCTCTCAATTTCCAATAGCTCAGGGAGCGATTTCTTTTTTACTTCTCCGAGAGCATCAAGAATCTCTCCATTTCCTTTTAGAATTTCTTCCAATTTTCAACAACTCAGGAAGTGTTTTGTTTACATCCCATTGAGAGCACCAAGAATCTCTTTTCTTCCTATTTTAAATTAGTGATACTGTATATGTTAGATAGTTCTATGATATCATCACCCTGATCATCACTTTTGCTAAGATCAACACTTGACTTGGTAATCTACAAAGATTATCTCCGATTCTGAGATTTTTGTAACTTGTGTCTCATAGTGGCTTTAGTGCCACAATTCCCAACCTCTGGGTATTTGCTTGAGGTGCCGACCAACAAAATGAGACAGTAGACGAAGAAAGTGGCAGCTTTGTCATGTGCCTGCTTTGTCCTGCGAATCACATATTGGCTTCTTATGACGAGTCTCAGATCAGTCGCATGATTCCTCATCGTCGTAAGGTAAGGCGCCAGCCAAGATGCCTACCCTCAAGTTTCCACTTGATCTCCAAAAAACAAAAACAAAAAACCACTAAACTCTCTCATGATTTGTGCCCTAATGTAGTCCAGATAATTCTGGTGCTGGGCTATCTGGGAAAGGTTAGGGGGTCCAGGTTGAGTGCCGGCGCGGGGGGATGGTTTGGCCGGTTAGTGACCTGAAACATGCTTATGTGTTATTGAAGTGTTCAAGTAGGTATGATGTGACAGCTGAGGAAGAGTGGGCCTGTCTGAGAACATGTTGAATTGTGTCACTCATTTTGTTGTAGCTTGACAGTTTAGTTTTGTTTCTGTTTGGTACTATTACTTTTCACAAGTGCAGTTACTTATACTCGCGGAAAGACTACTTTGTTTCTTTTTCTTGGCACTCTATGACCCTACACTGCCAAACTTGCCTGAAGCCTCACAGACTAACTCTCAACCCACAGCCAGTCTGAAGGTTTTTAATGAGCCTGAAATGTTGTTTTATTACTAGCAAAGACAAACACATCACATCAGACAAAATTTGTGTATTTTAACAACAGTGTGCTTTTTTGAGACAAGAATTAGACTGAGAGAACGTCTTCCAGGGTGATACAGTAGCGTCAATAATCGTGGTGAGTCCGTCGAGGTGGTGATCGTGACCGGCGTCTTGGATCTCTTCGACGTTCGTTGGGAGATACTGAACGTTGATGTCGATCTTGAACGGGAGGTGATAGCGGGCGTGGGTGACGTGTGGAATGAGGGATTGGTTTGGAGGCCCGATGGTGATCTGAATCGCGATGGCGATGATCGTCGGGACGATGGGAATATTTCCGAGCGGAGCTGGATTCTCGAGGTGAATGGGCACTTTCAGAGGATGAGCTACGTCGGCCACGGTCAGGAAGCCGGCCTGATGAAAGCCGCTCGCGATTCGAACCGGACGCATTTGGAGAACGGTCGCGATGGCGGTCCTTATGATGTGAGTCGCGATCCCTTTGATGTGAGTCGCGATCCCTGTGGTGCGAGTCGCGATCCCTTTGATGTGAGTCGCGATCCCGGTGATATGGCTCACGTTGATCCCGTGTGCGATCATCAGCTCGGTCCGACCGGGAACTCCTCTGCACTTCAGGGTCAGCATATTTCGACGACTTGGATGCGCTTTTCTTGGCCATCTTCTCCTCTAATTTGCGTTCCCTCTTGGCGGCCCGTTCGGCCTTGCGTGCCGCCTTCTCCGCCTTTCTCCTTTGGATTTCTTCCTCGCCATCGGAACCTCGATCTTGCTGCCCACCGCCCTCTCGAGCGGGGCCGAGCGGAATGGCATTCGATGATGTTTCTGGGGCACTTGACATGGGATCACGAGGTGCTGGCTTGAAGCCACTAATGGAGGACAAATCAGTGTGGTAAACGTCAGCCAGCTAGACTTGAGTAATAGGGTGAAAAAACAGCGGATAGGTTTTTTTAACATACAGTGCCGCACTGAGTGCATCCTCTTCTGCGGCCTTGATCCGCTGTATCTCCTCCCGTTTGGCTCTCAATCGCTCGTCTTCATCGATCGCTCCACCATCCTTATTGTACCAAGTGATATCTTTATTTTTTTGCCATCGACCGACGGGCGCAAGGATAGAATGACCCAAATAATTTTCTCGGTCCTTATCGTCTGCTACGTCTGACCATTTGAAATCACCCTGTCCTCCTCTGATCCCATGATTTTAATCCGTTCATTTGCAGAAAAAAAAACGAAATTAGAAACTTGTTGTGAGTTTTTTGGAAATGGCGCTCAACGATGGAGGAGTGTCGATGTCAAAAAACACTCACCGAGTGCCGCCTCGAACTGGTCCAGAGAACATTTTTCAATGACTCGGTAAGATTTTTCGAGGAGAATCGGGAATGAGTGGACGGTTATGCTGCTTCGTGTTCGAGGATACTGTGGAGAAAGTGAACTGGCAAACTGCTGCTGGAAAATGCTGCACCACAACAGAGTCTGCAGAAGCCAACGGGGTTGCCCGGATGTGGTGTAAATACCCGAGCCCGAACGTTGCGGGGGCTACAACACGCATTTCAACTTCTCTGCAAGCCCCTCAAGTGGAAATCTTGGGGGTGTTTATCCACAGACCACGGCACAAACCATACATATATAATTACTTATTATTCACGTGATATAAAAAATGATCAGAGTTGCATTGAATGTAGGTTTTGGTGTTTTTTTTCTTCTGCTCTGGCATACCAGAGGTGATAAGATTTCAAAGTAATTCAAACCAATTCTGGAGCTATGTACTATCCCTGATTTGTGATGGCTCCAAAATTCTCTAGCTTGATCAATTCCCTCACAGTTATTCATACTCTTGTAGTAGTGAAACATTGGTAAATTTTCCCCTGCCCCCTTACAAAAATGGAGCAACTTGTGATATCGATTAGTCATCTAAACTCCATGGCAAAAAAAACTAAATAGCAATTTATATTCCAACTTTGGTGCATGTATTTTTCTTCTTTTTATGGGTTTTCTGGTAGTAGCTAGAGATTGGAAAAAATAAAAAATGAGAAAAGGGAATGCATTGAATGTCACCAAAATTGGATCCACCAATCAATGCTAATCCCATTTTACAGTCTTGACAGAGGGCCGTACTTTCAGAAGAGTAAGCCCAGGTATGTTACTAAGGAAAAAACCAAAATAAGGAAAACCTTGATCTGAAGTTTTAAAAAGACTAGGGAATAAATAATGAAGAGAAAGGCATGATAGACCATTGATTGAAGCTGGTGCATAGCGCCAAAACTTCTCCTTAATTGAAGTAGATCTAGTGAGTTCAGCGAGACGTTCAAGGTAAGATGTTTGTTTTGAATCTTCTTCAGAAGCAATCACTTCCCCGTCGAAAGAAGGACGTATTTTTAAAAGTGCAAGTCCAGGTATAGTGCTCAGCAAGAAACCAAAGTGTGGAAAACCGTGCTCTACATTTTCAAAAAGACTCGGGAAAAAGTAGTGAAGTGAATAACATGATAAACCATTGATTGGTGCTGGTGCATAACGCCAGAACATCTCCTTGCTTTTCATGGATTTGACGAATTGAGTAAGACTCTGGAGGTAAGATGCATGCTTTGACCCGCTCTCAACAGTGACTTCATTGGAAGTAGACGCTCCGGACGAGCCTGCCTCCAGAGGCACCACTTCCCCCAGCTCTTGGTTCGATGATTCACTGGGCTTCGTATTGCTTGCTACAAGCCGGTCATCGGCTGTGAGTCCTAGATAGTTGTGTTTTCGTGCTGCATCTTTACTTATCTCTGCAACAGTATTGCCAACCGGTATGGAGAGGGTGGGCAAAACCACACCGCAAGTCTACAAGTTCAAAGATTAGTCATTAGTTGAATTTTCAACCATTCATCTCACCAATGAAAAGAAAAGCAAGCCACTCATACTTAACTATGACGAGTGTTTGTAACAGCAACATCAATTTTTCTGGAAATAAGCACTAGGGGGAGGAACCAGGAGAGATAAGAAGATCTGCTGATGACTTTGGCTCAATTTTCTATGAGTACATAGACCGTGAGAGCACAGAGGCTCTCCACAACGTGTGAGACTCGATAAAGTTGACTGTGCAAAGCTTTGATTTTGACCGCAGGTTTGATCAGAGTATAACATGAACGGCGGATACGGTTTTCACTATTGGTTACTGAATAGATCCCTTGAATGCAACAAAATTTAAATGATCAAACTGCGGTGGGGGGGGGGGGGGGAGGGGCTCCCATCAGCCATGTGTCCATTTTCTGCTAGCCCTCCCGACACCCTTGCTTGGCAAAGATGTTCACCTTGCCAGTGTAATCTTAGGCCTAGCTCGGGTTTGGGAAAGAGAGGGGGGTACTCTTTCTCGAGGAGTCCCCCCTCCGGCCGGAGAAGGCTTGTGGAGAAAAAGGAAGCAGGAAACAAAGCAGGTGGTGGGGTATCAGGCATACAACCCCACCCGGCTAAATTGTCTCCCCTGTACACTAAGGGGTGGGTGGGAGGTGTGTGAAAAAAGGGGGAGAGAGTCGGGAAGGGCAAGGAGGTGGTCTTGCCGTGCAACTAGCTGAAGGATTTTCGAGGGGATGAAAGTGAGGACTGGAGGTGGAACTCTACTCGTTATCATAGGCTTGAAGATCAACGCACGGACGCCTCAAATGCGTCCCGTGCGTTTCAGACGTGGATTGGATCAGCTAGTGGGCTCGTGACCATGGACGAAGGTGACATGGCTGCGCCCTAGTCACACGACATCCATTTTCTGCTAGCCCTCCCGACACCCTTGCTTGGCAAAGATGTTCACCTTGCCAGTGTAATCTTAGGCCTAGCTCGGGTTTGGGAAAGAGAGGGGGGTACTCTTTCTCGAGGAGTCCCCCCTCCGGCCGGAGAAGGCTTGTGGAGAAAAAGGAAGCAGGAAACAAAGCAGGTGGTGGGGTATCAGGCATACAACCCATATTCATGGATTCATTAGTGGAGCCTGAACAATGCATGAGAAACCCCAATCTCCGCGTGAATACAATGTCTAAAATCCCATCCTTCTCCAGCTACGTCTAAACTCGCGTAGCAAAGCCCTAGTATGTGACAGGTCGGTCGTGTTGTACTGCCTTATGTACAATTTATAGCAGTCAGACTTCCATCGTCCCAAAGTGCATAGGTCGTTCCACGACATCCCCAACGCGGCTCGTAGTGAGGCCCCCCCTACGCGAAAAGAGTGCCCTTTGAGCCCACTGAAACCGCCACTGGACAGGACTGTCTCCAAGCGAGAGACGGCCTTCCTCCTAGTTATGTGACGGCGAGACCCGTTGACGTCGTACCCGAAAAGAGATGTCTGTTTCCCTTCCGCCGCGGCTAGACGGCGTTTGATCGCGTCTACTGGGCATAGTGCATGCTTTTGTTTGCCCAGGGTGATTAGTTGGGGTGTTCCCGGTGTGCCTGTTTTGGCGTTTCTTATCGTTAGAGTTGCTGCTTTTCCTCGCGTGCAAGTAGTCAGATAAACATCCGTCGTCAAAACTGATTCCGCGAAGTTAATTTTGCCTTTCTCCGATGTGTAGGTTAACTCTGCCAACCTTGCCAAACCCCAAAAGGCGACGATGAACAGGTCGAGGATCGTCTTGTCAAAATCGTCTCCTTCGCGCAGCGTCTGCCACAAGTAAGTCATGTGCCAAAACATCATTGGCTTCTTCTTGATGATAGATGTTTCCAGCGCATCTTGTTTTGCCGATGCCTTTAACAGGAGATTGATCCTCGACTCGTTCGTCGTTGGGAACTCCACGCTATGATATATGTGCCACGCCTTGAGTCCGGCTATGTACTTGCGAAGAGAATTCGACGAGATTTTGCCTCCATTTGTTGAAAAGGCATTCCTGCCTGCCCAAATGCAGAAGGCTTCTAGAACTGAACCTGATATTGGTAAAAGAAATTCGCCCTCTCCCTCTGATTTCCGGAAAGCCATGAACTTTTTCACGGCGCTGTTGTATCCTAGTAGAGTCGAGCTTTTCCAACTGTGGAGTATGTGAAGATCTGCTTTCGAAGGTAAACTTGCATGTGATCCGTTTTTCGTGAAAGCGGTAATTTTCCGCAATTCTACTAGCTCTAATTCTGTCGAAATCATGGTACACGAGTGCTTTAAGTAAGATTTGGTAGTATGTGGTAATATCTATTCGTAAGAAAATTACAAACGACGATGATAGTAAGGGAAATATGAAAAAGTGAAAGGGAACAGCTAATTGATTCCATGTTATATCCTTCTCGCTCTCTACCCATTGCGCATAAAAACTTCTAGGTCTGCAGGGATATCAATGTGGACCCTGTCGCTTTCCACATGTGGTTGAATAATGCCTCTCGAGAGGCTGTCGGCCGCGTTTTCCCTTGAGACAACCCTTTTGGGAGTTATATCCAAGTCCTGGTTTATTAGTAGACCCTGGATCATCTTCCATTCATTGTTGGCGTGATGGTCTTTTGATTTGCGTGATCGTAACGTTGCTTCGGTCGTTGTATTATCCTTATAGACTATAAAATTTTTTTCTTGTATTTTCGTCTCCAGTTTTAGGAGCATATTT